TTGGAGGAGGGATGTGTGTTTTCTTTCTTTTCATTTCTTTTTTTATAAGTGTATTTATTTATTTATTTTTATTTATTTATTTAGAGACAGAGTTTCTCTGTGTAGCTTTGGAACCTGTCCTGGAACTCGCTCTTGTAGACCAACCTGATCTCGAACTCACAGAGATCTGACTGCCTCTGCCTCCCAAGTGCTGGGATTGAAGGTGCATGCTTGAAGGGATGTGTGTTTTCTGAAGAGATAAGGTGAGCCAAGTACTTGGTCACTTGGACCATACTTAAGAGTGATGACTGTAGCTCACAGGCCAGGCAGGGAAATTTGAGCAGAACTCTGAACCAGCTTGTGACTCCGTGGTGCCTGGGTCTAACCTTGGGAAAATGCATTTCAGCTGTTTATTAAGAACTCCAATGATGATGGCAGTTCAACGACAGTTCAGGACTGCTACCTCTGCCCAGAATACAAAGTAGAGTAAGCCCCAGACCCAACCCCAAGCCCAAACCCAGCCTGCATACAATGGAGAGCTAAGAAATAAAGACCACAAGCTCGCAGGGCGGGAGCCACATCTGTTTTGTTTAGAATTGAAAGCTTGGTGCAGTGCCAAATGCCTGCCTAAAATATGCCTCAATGGTTTTTTTTTTAAATAAAGTATGTAAAGAATTGTTAAGTAAAGTACATAGGGAATATACTCTGAAATCTCACAGGTTGGAGAGGAACCAACAGGCTCACAGAGGAAATCAGAGAAAATCAAATGAAATATCATACGATTATAAACTAGAGCAAGGCAAGACATTTTGTCAAACAGTGCAGAGGGGAGTCTTGGTGCAGGGGAGAGAACACATATCTTCAGACTGGTGCACAGAGGTCTAGTCACACCAAGTTTGCTTTGAGGAGCATCTGGTGATGGGAAATGATATGGGCGCTGGGGTGGGGGCATTGCCAGTAACACCTGGGGAGAGATCAGTGACTGTGGGGCTTCCTTTTGGAGGCAGCATTTAAATGAGGAAGCAACTCATGATCCTCCTGCCCCTGCCTCTGCCACCTTCTGCAAATTCTACTGGCATGCTCTACCACTTTGGAAATCAGTATGGCGGTTCCTTGGGAAAATGGGAATCAGTCTATCATCACAAGATCCAGCAATCCCACTCTTAGGCATATATCCAAAAGACGCACATTCATACAACAAGGACATCTGTTCAACTATGTTCATAGCAGCATTATTTGTAATAGCCAGAACCTGGAAGCAACCTAGATGCCCCTCAACTGAAAAATGGATGGAGAAAATGTGGTACATTTACATAATGGAGTACTACTCCATGGAAAAAACAATGGAATCTTGAATTCACAGGCAAATGGATGGAACTAGAAGAAACCATCCTGAACAATGTAACCCAGTTACAAAAGGACAAAAAAAGGTATGTACTAACTCATATATGGATTTTAGACACAGAGCAAAGGAGTACCAGCCTACAATCCACACTGCCAGACAAGCTAGGAAACAAGGAGGACCCTAAGAGAGACATACATATATGGTACCCTGGAGAAGGGGAAAGGGACAAGATCTCCTGAGCTAATTGGGAGCATGGGGGGAAGGGAGAGGAAGTTAGAAGAAAGAGAAGGGGAGAAGAGGGGAGAGGAGGGCAGGAGAGAGCAGGAAGATCAAGTCATAGAAAGAAAAGAGGAGAGCAAGAAAAGAGATACCATAATAGAGGGAGTCATTATAGGTTTAAAGAGAAATCTAGCACTAGGGAAATGTCCAGAGATCTACAAGGTTGGCCCTAACTAATAAACTAAGCAATAGTCGAGAGGCTACCTTAAATGCTCTTCTCTGACAACGAGATTGATGACTACCTTATATGCCATCCTAGAGACTTCATCCAGTAGCAGATACCCACAGCTAAGCACTGAGCTGAACTCCTGGAATCCAGCTGCAGAGAGGGAGGAGTGATGAGCAAAGAGGTCAAGACCTGAACAAGGGGTTGCTCATGGATCCCAGACTGGTAGCTGGGAAACTAGCATAGAACCAACCTAGATCCCCTAAACAGGGGTGCCAGTTAGGAGGTCTGGGCAATCTATGGGGTCTCTGGTAGTGGATCAATATTTATCCCTAGTACACGAATGAACCTTGGGAGTCCACTCCACATAGAGGGATATCTCTCAGCCTAGATACACGGGGGAGGGTCTAGGCCCTGCTCCAAATGATATGACAGATTTTGAACATCCCCCATGGAAGGCCTCACCATCCCTGGGGAGCAGAAAGGGGATGGGATAGGGAGTTGGTGGGAGCCAGGGGAGGAGGGGAGGGAGAAGGAACTGGGATTGAAATGTAAAAGAAGCTTGTTTCTAATTTAAATAAATAAAGGAAAAAATACATGCCCAACATATTTGCCCCCCCCCCATGGGAAAGCAAGTTTCATTTCTCTGTAGTTCCAACCTTCAGCCTCCTCACCCTGTTCTTATTTGATGCGTTTTCCTCAGCACTGACTATGATGCCAGGAATCTGGTGGACACTGGGAATGTGCTGTGTGGATAAATAAGAGAGTGAACTTTGCAAGCAGGAGAAAAGAAGGGTCCATGGCTATTTTTAGTAACCAAGACACAATGCATGCTTCCGGTTGCTTTACCCAGCCCTGCTTCAGACTGTTATTTAAACACTTCAAACAACTTGGAGAAGTGAAGAAATTGCTGGAGTTCCTTCTTCAGGCACTTAGGTAAAGGACCAGTGAGATTAAGCACAAGTCACCAAGTTAGCAGCCACAGTGAGGAGGCAGAACTAGAATTGATTCTCATTAAGACTGCACTCAGGGATCCAGGCTTTCCCGTGTTGGCCCCAGGGTTTCACCCAAGCTCACTGGGATCGCCACATGATAGGCCAGGGCAGGGAGAGGCTGTGGCACCAGTTGTCTCACACTGCAAGACCACCTGAGTACTTCTGGTCAGCATTCTTGGATATGGAGATTGTGTACAAAGAAATGCGTGGGAATCTCAGAATACCGCTAAATCCCTGCAGGCAGTTGATCAGAGGAAGGCTGGAGCTGCTACCTGCTGAGTGCTGGCCCGGAGGCTGGCCCTGACATGCTAGATGTGAGGCAGTTGTCCCATCAGCCTTGAGTGCAATGGCCCTGGTGGTGGCAGTGCATAGTAGAGTCATACCGGCTGCTCAGGACATTAGCGAAACAGGGTTGCTTGGTGGGGATTTTTTGGGGGGGCGTGGGTGGGGTTGTATATCTTTTTAAGACAAAGAGCACTAACAAGACAATACAAACAAACAAGGACTTGTAGAGACAAGAAGGGAAGGCAAGGAGGCAGGAAAACGATCTTGAGAGAGCATTTCAGCAACAAAGAGCGCAGAGCCACAACACTTGAGTTGTTACTAACCTTTGCAGCGATTACAACTCGATTGTGAGCAGTGAAAGGCTGTGATCTTAAGCCTTTTTTTTCCTGACAAAGGAGCTTTTCAGGGTTCATCCCCAAACCTCTCCTCTGAAGCAAATTTGACAATGAACTTTGTCCAGTGATTCTGACTAATGGCTATCGCCGACTGGAGACACAAATAGATTCCTTCTCTTTTTCCTACGCTAAGATGGCTTAAGCTAAACAGCATTTTCAGGAAGAAAATGAACAAACAAATGCTAAGGTGTGGAAAAGCAGAGAAATCACTGAACCACTGGTGGAAGACCTGGGCTTCAGGCAGGCTTGTCACCTCAGACGAAGCCTCTCCTCCCTTCCTCCGTGTCTGTGGAAGACTGGAAGCAGTATGTAGCTTGGAGGACCTCCGTGAGGAGGCCAAGGAAAGGCTACATGTGGCTGCTTCCCAAAGGCTCCAAGTGAACGATGCTGCTCTCCACATCCCAGCAGGAAGCTCCATGGCTGTCACAGAGCCTTAGTGTAACACGGGCTGTCTTGTATGCTCTGAAAGGGATGACACTACCCGACAGCCCCAAGGGAAAACCCAACTGATATGCTGAAGACCACAGCAGCAGCGGTTGATGCTAATTAAGTAAATTACCCAACTGCCACCTGTAATAACAAACCACAAAATATATTTACCTTATGATACTAATCTCTACTTTTTAGGATAGTGTTGTATGGCTTATTATATGGAAATATGAACAAATGTCTATTGACCAAAAATAGGGTGCTGAAGACAGACCTAAGAAATTAATCAGCTGAAGTTCAGCGTGGTGAACCAGTAAGAAGCTATTCCGGTTACTTACAGGACTCAAAGACAACTCCTCGTCACTGGAAAGCCCACCTCAGCATCCACACCCCTGGAACTCCTGCATGACTCGGTTGGAGAGCTCTTCACCTGAGTTAAATGTTACCCTGAATTCCTTGGTCTGCTGCTTATGATTTTGGCTAGTAGGTCTGTTCCTAATTTAAATATGTCTCTTTTGTAGCTCTTTCATCTGAGTTGACATATTCCTTTCTGGAGGGTAGAAGGAGGTCGATAGGTTCAGGTAGTAAAGGTAATTTACAAGGCTCAGGAAGTAAACAAAATTTACTAGGCTGAAGAGGTTCCTGGATCAAGATTCACAAGGCTTTCTCCTGAGGTTGTACAAGCAGCAACCAATTATCAGGGCACTGGGTTACGGGGCATGCTACATTTTCATTGTGCAAGGAGTTCACCAATGTGACCAGTCAACATTAATTTTTTGAAAGATTTATTTATGTTATTTTTTGTATGAGAGTGTTTTACCTGCATGTGTGTATGTGTATCGTGTGCAGTTAGTGCCAGCTAGACCAGAAGAGGGCACTGGATGCCGTGAGGTCAGAAGAGGGTCACAGATCCCGAGAACTGAGTAATAGATGGCTGTGAGCCACCACGTGAGTGCTGACACTCAAAGCTGGTGCTCCTCGAGAGCAGGGAGTGCTCCAGTGGGCTAAGCCGTCTTTCCAGAGGTATGGGATGCTCCATGGATCTCCCCGTGATCCTGGGCAGCACCCATGCTACTCTTCTCTGTGTCCTTCCGGTTCCGTGTCCTGCCCAAATGAGCACTGCAGACTGTATCTTCACCAATTTGTCTTTTATTAAAGCAGCAAACGTTATCGAATGGGAATCTATAACAGAAGCTTACTGTTTATAAGAGTTCTCAAATTAAGGCATCACCAGATTAAAGGCCCCGAGGGCTAGTCTATTCTCACTACTACTCAAAAGGTGAAGGACTGAAGAGGCTTCTCTCGGCTTCCTCTATAAGGGCATCAGTCTCCGTTAAGAGATACTTATGTTATGGAACCACCTGCAGAAGGTTCCCCTCTTCATCCAATCACCTGCAGGGTTCAGTTTCTGCATATAAATGGGAGTGGGGGAAGAACACACAAAGCATTAGAACACTGCATTCAAATACATTCCTTCACCCAGAACTCGGGACCTAACGCATAGTTCCTGGGCATTATCTGTGTCTGTCACTGTGGTAGACTATTTGGCATGCACAGATTATTTAATTCTCCCAACAAACCTGTCTACAGTCTATTACCCACCTTTATAGAGGAGGAAACTGAGGTCTTGAGACTGACTAACTTTCCCAGGGTCCCATAGCCAGCAGGTAGAATTCAAATAAGAACAAATAACACAATCACTACATCATGTTGGATAAAGAACACCGTGGGGCTCTGGAAAATTGCAAATGATACCGCCTGGTTGGAGACAGTAGGAGCTGATTCAATCACTTTGGCCAACGATCTTGCTAGTTCCACACTCTGTGGCCCAGGAACTCTACTCCAAAGTAGAGAAAATTCTCAAACATTTACATAAGTACGTGTGTGCAGGACTGTTAAGGAGGTTTTGTCCGTAAAGCAAGGTACATTTGTCAGGACAGATTAAAAACACTGTGACTCCGTGATGTATTACTTTCTCAGCAGTAAACACCGACCATTCCCATTCTAGCAAATGAATCAAAGTTATAGTAAGTTACCCCAAGAAAGATACGACCTTAAAAGACTCAGAGCAAGCAGATCTAACAGTAATAAACATTTGTACAAGAAAAAGGTTTAAGAAAAAAAAGCAACTCACATGACAGGTAAGAGGGAAACTCTAGCAGTTTCCCTTGTGGATGAGGGGGGTGGAGAACGGACAGGAAGATTTGAGAGCACGGGAAGCGTCATTGTGAACAAAGCGTAGATCAGAGAATCTAAACTACCTTTTAAAAAGTCACCATTGCCAGCCTGGTCTACAAAGTGAGTTCCAGGACAGCCTCCAAAGCCACAGAGAAACCCTGTCTCAAAAAACCAAAAAAAAAAAAAAAAAAAAAAAAGTCACCATTGATGGGCCTGGAGAGCCTGCTAGGCCATTAAAAGCACTTCTCAGCTCACAACCATCTATAACTCAAGTTCCAGAAAGTCCAGTGCCCTCTCCTGGCCTCTGTGGCACTAGGCATGTGTGTGGTGTGCTTATATACAAGCAGTCGTTTAAACACCCATACCTATAAAATAAAAACAAATAAACCTTTTGTTGTTTAAAGTTACCATTGAGACGTAGCTACAAAGCTAGATGGGCGTGTCGGGAGCTTCCTCTCGCCACCCCCACCCCAGGCATGGGCGCCCACATAAGTATAGAGGAAAGCCATCAGTCCCAGGTGCACGGCTATGATTAACTAGTCCTGTTTTTCTGGCCCTTCCATACGAAAGGACTACCTGGGGCTCTGGAGCCTGGGTAAATAATCCTGGCAGCCCAGCCAAGCCGACGGGGAGGACGTAGGCCACCCACACAGCAATCAAGAGTTCCTCTGGGTGGGACAGGAAATGGCAATTGTTCCTGCTCCATATCAGTGCTAAACCACCAGGAGGGCCATAACCAGGGGCAGCATGGGGATCAGTGTGCAACTGGCCACTGGGCCCAGTGGGCCAGCGAGACCCACGGACAGGTCAACACCCACATGGTCTAGTTGAAGCAACTCGAGTGTGGGTGACTGCACACAATAGAGCTAAACCACAATTACCTCATGCAAATGGGCCACTAACTCTCATTGGCCCTGAGTGAGAAGAAAACAGACACAGGTGTGAAAGTGCTGGATGAGCTGGAAGGATCCGAGAGTACCTGGCGGTGTCACCTAGGGGCAAGGGACCCTGGCTCCTCCTGGGCAGCTTGTGAAACCCAGAAGTGGTCTTCTACAAGGAGATCTGCATTTGGGGAGCCTCAGCTCTTGTTTAGGGGACACTTGCTCAATCTTTGTTATTCCCACGATTTTCCTATGCATGGCTGCCCGAGTCAGCTGTGGCACCGATTGCTTCATGGTACTTACTTCCCTGGTAGAGCTCTCCTGGAACTACGGCGACCTAAGGGTCAGAGCCTGGTTGCTACAGCTGCAACCACACTTGGCACTTTGTGAACGAGCCCCGACAAGTAACAGCCTCCCTTCCTCTTACACAGACCCAGTCACTGGTCCCGGCATCACCCCCTACACAGAATTCTATACTCAATCCCAGAAATTGCCATTGCTCCTATTAGGACCTCCCCAGAGAGGAAAAATCTCAGTCGCTGTCCTCGTTTGGGAGACTTTGACATAAATCATGATTCCTGAAAGCATTCCCATAATGCTTACCGCCTTAAGAGGGGCTGGTGGCTACGCCCCTCTTTGTTGTCAGTTCTCTAGCTGGAGAACAGTTTGACAATTAGCACAACTTAGGAGGGAGCAAAGTTAGCTCTGTCTGAAGCCTCACACATTAACGTGTCAAGACTAATGAGTTGTTTCCTTTTCCATATTAGAAAGCAGATAAATGTTAACAAACTGGTGTCATTAAGTGTCAGTAGCAAGACTCAAAACACATAGAATGTTTATTGTGGCACATCTTAGGCAAAGGAGAAAAAATATTAAAAAGGTGAGACAGAGGGTACCTACCCCAGCTCCAACTCACAAGCAGCACCCAGATTGTGGTCCACTGCCCTGAAAACCAGGAAACACCCAAGGGGAGGGTTAAATTGCTCACTCGAGGCCCACTAGCTTTCTGGACATCTCAACTCTGCGCCCCTGACTTCACAGGCAGCTTTCGCTTTCAGGGACAGATCTGCTTCTATGCATGATTCACCGCTGCTGGTTCCGCAGATGAGTTCAGGAGTGCGGAAGAGGAGGAGGGGCACGTTTTAATTACAAGCAATTCAGCCTGGCACGCAGAACTCTCAACCTGTCCAAGTCCCAGACTTCTGACCTTCTCCAAGATGGCCATCTGCTTCTGCTGTGGCAGCATGGGGAGGGGCTGCCCAGGCAAGTTCCCACACAGAGAATTTTGGGCCAAATGCTTAGTGCTAACAAGGCCTTAGTTCTGTCGAGATATTCAGTGGCTCTGGTTTTGGAGCAGGGGAAAATGGGGTAGTTGTGAGGGAGCTGACAGAACCTGATTTCAGTCCATCTTGATGGAATGTGGGAGTTACAAAGGCTACTCTTGTTCACCCCCCCAGGCTTTCTGGTACAGGCCAGGGTGGGCTGGCTGTTACTGTCTCTGAAAGGATCTAACTGGGTTCCTGTGCTGGCTTCCCTTGAGTGGAAGGCCACCCCAGAAGCCTCTGAATGGAGGCCCTGAAATGTTAAAAAGTGCATTGGCAAGCCTTTCCTTCCAGGCTGCCAGGCTAGAGGTGAGGGCGTTGTTGCTGGAGGCAGAGGAAAAGGGGAGTGTGACCTCTGCTTGGTGTCCTGGCCCCCAACAAGTCAGAGGTCAGGCAAGGAGGGCAGAGGCAGCCCAGCCTAAGGTCTAGAAGGCAGAAGTGGCCTGGTAGCAGCTGCAGAATCCCAGGCAGGCTGCCACAGCTATCAGGGATCCTAGGCGCCCCCCTCTGGTGAGGCGAGGGTTGGATACTTCATTCTGTGACAACCCTGGTCGCAGTAACCTGACATTTGAGTCTCCATGGTATTGCCACAGGATACAAGCTCAGCAGAGAGTGACCCCTTCATCGGACTTGGTAACTCTCTGTACACAGCAGTGAACCTGTGACATTTGGGTTCGGAACACTCCTCTGCTAACCACCAAAGTTCCGAGAAAGTTTCTCTGAGATTACTGGGTATGAATTAAACCCAGGGTTTTACAGTAAGCCCAGGTTCAGAATTTAGAGATGGTTTTTGTTTGTTTTGTGTTTGTTTGTTTTCTTGAGACAGGCTTTCTCTGTGTAACAGCTTTGGCTGTCCTGGAACTCACTTTGTAGACCAGGCTGGCCTCAAACTCACAGAGATCCACCTGCCTCTGCCTCCCGAGTGCTTTGGATTAAAGGCCTGGATAGAGATGATTTTAAAACAAGATAGCTACCACACAAGAAAAAAATCGTCCCTATTTGTTAAAAAAAAAAACCTAGAAGGAAACTGGCACACGATTTATAACTGGGATTCATATTCTCTCTCAAGAAAAAAAGAATCCTGGGAGCTGGAAAGCAATGTGGCCTATAGTCCCTTTGTTAAGGTGAGGATACCGCAGCTTTAAGATCAAGTCACTGAGTGAATGGAAGAGTAGCTCAGCTCCAGTGTGTAAGAGACCACGAGCCTGTAGAGAGTAGATATAAAACCTGTCAGAGCTAGCAGACCCCGAGTCACCCAGTCACTGAGGGAGAGAAGGAGAAACGAGCAATGTGTCTGCTTCCTCAACATCGTGGGGATGTGGCCTGATTTACCAGTCATCGTGGGGATGTGGCCTGGATGCAGGGGGCAGTGGATCCCAGCTGCTGGCGCTGCCAGGATTCAGCGAGCAGTGACTGGCTTCCTTGGCGAGTGCACCACGTAATAGCGGTGGACTTGGAGGCAATGGGAGGCACACCAGGGGTACGGCAAAGGAAACTTATCCTCATTGGCCATTCATTACCATTGATCTTTGTAAGGGGGTGGCACTGCCATGTTCCCTCACTGGAAGCATTAACAGCAAAAATGCTAACAATGTACTTCCAAGTGGATCACACTTCAGGGAAATAAAAAGTCAAGTCTGAATGTCTCGAAATAAACTAAAACATATAAAGCAAACAGGAACAGACTGAAGACATAAAAGCATAATTGCTATGAAAGCTTACACAGCGCACAGTTCAAACATGAGAACGGCTACAGACGATTACAGATGGTGCAAATGAATTACCATCTCAACATGTAAAGCACTTAACAGACAAACTACAGAAAAGACTTCATTCCTCACTCTGAAGAGGACAATTTACTACACTATATGATATGCTGGAACACAAAGTAAGCACAAAAATGTCAAAGGACTGAAATAAAGGATGTATTTCTGATGCAAAGGAATAAAAAGATAACTGAGAAATATTTATGTTTGTAGATATATATCTAATTAATCCAGGAATCTTCAAAAGCCACTATGGAAATTAGGAAATACTTGAAATGAGATCAACTGATAGTGGAAACCCAGCCCTAAGAGATACACCTGCATCCCTGCCCCTGCATCCATTACACCTGCATCACCGCTCCTGCATCCCGATTACACTGCATCCCTGCTCCTGCATCCCGATTACACTGCATCACTGCCCCTGCATCCCGATTACACCTGCATCCCTGCTCCTGCATCCCAATTACACTGCATCTCGGCTCCTGCATCCCGATTACACTGCATCTCGGCTCCTGCATCCCGATTACACTGCATCACTGCCCCTGCATCCCGATTACACTGCATCTCGGCTCCTGCATCCCGATTACACCGCATCCCTGCTCCTGCATCCCGATTACACTGCATCCCTGCTCCTGCATCCCGATTACACTGCGTCACCGCCCCTGCATCCCGATTACACTGCGTCACCGCCCCTGCATCCCGATTACACTGCATCCCTCCTCCTGCATCCCGATTACATCAGCACCACAGTTCCTGCACCACAATTACATCTGCACCACAGCTTCTCTATCAGGATTACAACATCTGCACCACAGCCCCCTGCATCCATGGCTCAGGAAACATCTTAGAAGATGGGATGGAAAGACTGTAGCCAGACTAGTCAGGAAGTCTGCACTCTTAGAAATGGCTGCATGAGCAAGACCAGAACAATGGCAGTATTAATGGACATGCTAGTGTGGTGGTGGTAGTTCCCTAGACAAAGAACTACAGGAAATCAATGACCTCACAGGGAGAAGGACAATTAGCCCCTCCCGAGGAAGAGCTCCCTTACTGGTTATCCAACGCAGTGGTCAGCCTTGAAACATACAAACAACAGAAATGGGCTGCATTTACATATTTTTGTGCACACACAGGCACATATACACAACAATAATAATCAAAGAAAGAGAGGCCAGGCATTGGTGACACACACCTTTAATCCCAGCACTCGGGAGGCAGAGGCAGGTGGATCTCTGTGAGTTCAAGACCAGCCTGGTCTACAGAGCGAGTTTCAGGACGGCCTCCAAAACAATACAGAGAAACCCTGACTCGAAAAACAAACAAACAAACAAAGAGTCCATCAACTTGAGAGTGGGGAGGATGTGGGAAGGGCTTGACAGAGGTAGCCGAGAAGAGGGTGTAGGAAGAAGGGGGAAAGTGGTGTAATTCTATTTTAACTAAAATTTATTCATTTATTTACTTATAGTTTTCTGCCTGCATGTATGCCTGTGGCCAAAAGAGGGCAGCAGACCTCATTACAGATGGCTGTGAGCCACCACGTGTTCGCTGGGAATTGAAATCAGGACCACTGGAAGAGCAGCCACTGCTCTACCTCTGAGACATCTCTCCAATCCTAAAATATATTTTTAAAAATTAAAAAGTAAATGGGATAAAAAAGATAATGGAGACATAACATATAAAGGTCTATGTATGCATGAAAACTTAAATGGAATTATAATTAACATATCAAATGTTATACATAAACGAAATATCACTCCAAGACAGTGTTTAGATATCAATTATCAAGTCCCATTTTGACAAAGTGGGAAAAAAAATAAAATACAGAGTAGAAAGAAGGAAATAATGATGACAGAGCAAAAGTAAGTGAAATAAGCAAGAAGACAATAAAAAAAACCAAGCATCAAGGCTCATTCTTTTGAAATGCTGAACCCAAAACAAAGAGTCTCCCACTAACTACATCACAAGGCCACAGGAGGATGAGCAGAGGCCACAGCACTAAGTCTGGATGAACCGAGTCACACCTTGAAATGACATTTACCTAATAAGGCCTAAAGGACACAGTGTATAAGCTGCAACTTCCAACACTATAAATGTACACATAGAAAACCCAGTTCAGAGGAAACAGGGTCAGCTAGGAAGGGGCCTTGATGAAGTACAGTCAACATGCACAAGTTAGCTCCATTTTATTGTGTAGCAGCATAAAATTTTAAAATGTAATATAAATACACGATGTCCATACTAAATAACTGTAGTATAGAAATAAAAATACAAAGTTTTGTTTATCCTGTAAGGGGAGAGTTATCAAAAATTGGAAGACAGTAAATCCCCCATTAGGGAATATTAATATGATTTTGATGATCAGAAATAAATTAATTCACAGTACGTAAGTACATGATTCATACTAATACATAAGTAAATTACTTTCCTGGTAGCAGAGCTATAATATTTATATAAAATATAAAATCTCTGAAAATTTTAGACTAGCTCAGACTTCACTGTTTTTAAATATTCAATTCCAACAACTTTGCCAGAAAATTATATATTCCCCTGAAGCGAGCAAATGTTTCTATGAATACTTCAGATCTTATCTAAAATTTCTTCATGCTTATAAGCATAGTTTTATGATGAGTTTTTAGTTATTTTCACTCCAAATGTGTTTATTTTAGTATTCACTGGCATTAATATTAGCTGAATTTGACAGACTGGTATGATATTATTAATGCAATTTTTACACTAATTTCTCAGCTAGCATGTCAATTTTATATTTGGACCTATATTATAGCATCTATTTCCAAAAATAATTTGGGCATAAAATTATTTTCATAAACACATGACTGATAATCACACTTAAATATAATTATGACCCCCCAAATGACCATATGTAGGTCTGGCTATACTATCTAGAATGCAAATTTAACTTTAAAAAAATGGCCTGGAGAGATGGTTCAGTTGTTAAAAATACTTCTGGCGCAAGCATGAGAAACTGAATTTGGACCCCATCATCCATGTAAACAGTCAGGTGCAGGGGCCGGAGCCTGCAATCATATTGCTGGAGTGGGGTTAGGAGGGTCCTCGGGTCTTGCTGGCAGTCAGTCAAGCCGTCCTAGTGAGCTCCAAGGTGTGAGAGACCCTGCTACGAAAGAAAATGGAAGGAAACAGAGGTCGACACCTGATGTTCACCTCTGGCTTCGGAAGGCACACACCCGCACCCGCTCCAGAACAAGAGAAAAGTAACCTCCTCTTCATTCTACTCAAGAACTCAATGCACCTTGTTTAGAAAAGATAAAGCATTCCTAACTTGGACAACTAATCCCTCCTAATGACAGTTCTCAGGAAAGCAAGCCTACCTTCTGCTTTCAAAGTAGGCAGTAGGTGTTTCTAAATCTCAGAATCACTTAGGACCTCATTATTTGAATTTAAGAGGCGCGAACTGGCATGTTATCATTTCACTTTCTGCAATTCTTTTGTTACCAAAATGTAGCAAAAGTTTAAACTTACCAAAGGGTAAATCCTAAGAGTAAAGCCCTGTGTGATGGTCTATTCAATATCATGAAGCCAACTCCAGAGTCTTTCCACTTCCTCCCAAAGGACCTGTCATCAGTCGGTTCCCATTGCCTTGTCCCCCAATCCCTGCAAGCCACCAACGTGCTCGCCATCTCCGCATGGGCCTCTCCTGCACACTTCATGCACGAGTTCAGCTATATGGAGCCTCTGTGCTGGCTTCCTCCGATCGAGGCTCGCCCACACTGCAGCATGGATCAAAATTTCACTCTTTTTTAAAAATGGATAAACGATATTGTCTGATGAACTTCTGGATTCTATCCTCTTGGGGTGGTTATAAATGCTGCCATAAATATCTTTACAAAAGTTGTGTGTAGACTTTGTTTTCTAATTCTCTTGGCATGTTCAATTGCTAAGTCATATGGTGATCCTATTTAATTTTTTTAAAAAAACTATTCCACACCCATTTTATACTCTTACCAGCACGAATAACAGTTCAACTACTTCACTCCCACACTTATCGCCCTTTAAATTTTGTTAATGTTATAGCTACCCTCACATGTGTGAAATGACGTCTCATTGTGGCTTCAATTTGTATTTCCCTAGTAACTAACAACATGGAGTATCTGTTCACAAGTTTGCTGGTCATTTCTGTGCCATCTTTTCAGGGGCTTATTATCTGTTCTCTATATCTTCTTTGGGAAAATGCTCATGCAAACTGCACATATAAACTCAGTCATATTGGAGTTATACATTGTATTCTGAAGTGCACTCTGCACCATCATTGGCCTTGTCAAATACATAGACAGGGTTTTTCTGTGTAGCCCTGGCTGTCTTGGAACTCACTCTGTACACCAGCCTGGCCTCACACTCACAGAGATACTTTGTCCTCTGCCTCCTGAGTGCTGGGATTAAAAGTGTGCACCATCATGCCTGGTATGTTTTCATTTTCTTTAAAAAATGTTTTATATTAATTCTTTGAGAATTTTATACAGTGTGTTTTGATCATAATTATTCCCCTTTCCTGGCTCCTCCCAGGCCTAATTCAACACCAACACAATTTCATGTCCTTTCTCATTCAAACACCTTGGTTGTGTTGGCCAACCAATCTTGTGATGGATCTGACCTGGAGAGGGGCAAACACACCAGAGGTTACACCATTACAGACAAATGACTGCTTCTCCTCAAAAGCTAACAGTTCCTCAGCTAGAGGCTGAGAGTCCCCCTCCTCATCTGTGCTGGGATTTTATCTAGTTTGATTTGCACAAGCCTTGCCTTTAACACACATTTTAAAATATTTAATGAAACCCCCACCCATTGGGTACATTGGGTATCATTGAAAAGAAATTCTTGAGAGAGGGGGGGATAGGGAGGGAGGGAGGGAGGGAGGGAGGGAGGGAGAGGAGAGAGAGAGAGAGAGAGAGAGAGAGAGAGAGAGAGAGAGAGAGAGAGAGAGAGAGAGAGAGATGTTTAATAGCACAAAGATTTATAACAAGTTCTTTATAGTTTTGGTTTTTACACTTCAGTCTTCCATCCATTCTGACTTCATTTTTTTAAATATGGTTTGGTTGTTCCTTTTTTTTTTTTTTTTTTTTTTTTTTTTGGCTTTTTGAGACAGGGTTTCTCTGTATTGTTTTGGAGGCTGTCCTGGAACTAGCTCTGTAGACCAGGCTGGCCTTGAACTCACAGAGATCAGCCTGCCTCTGTCTCCCGAGGGCTGGGATTAAAGGCGTGTGCTACCAACGCCCAGCAGACTTGGTTGTTCTAACCATTTGTGAAATTATCTATGGAAGAGTCTTGGCAACCTTATTATTTTTTTTTTGTAAACATTAACTCTGTTGATATACAGGTCTACTTCTGAACACTAAGTTCCATGTTAGCCACAGATAGGCCTGGAGTGTAGTAGTTAACACTTACAGTTGTATGCTTTATGGTAGGGAAGAGTTATAAGCATTCAATATAACTCACACTTCTACTTCCTGGTGGGCTTCTAACATCCTGCACCTGTCAGTGTTGGACCAGCAAGCCAGCCCATGGTCCCCAGCACACGTTACTGATGCTCCACACTGGTACTGTGCGGTTAAGTCCTGCTGGTCATATGGCTAGGCAGATGGAATGTATTTCCAACTGGGCACTGTCATCTTATCCTGGGCTTCTCAGGATGGAACCCTACAGTAGCCCATGCTGTACCATGATTGGTTTTGTTTCTATATAAATATTAGGGCCAGTCTGTTTACTTCTGAAAGAAAAAAAAAAGGCCGATGGAAATTCCTGAGGACTACACTGGTCTGACCACTGGGGAGTACTACCACCTTGACTCTACAGTTCTGCCCACACAGCATGCGTCCCCAAGCTCTAAGCCATCTTAGTTAGGTTATAGTTATGCAAATCAATGCAGTCCACATACAAAGCCTGGCATCAGCAGGCCTGGGGTTGTCTCTGTTTGGTCTTCATAGCCTTGCATTCAGTGTGCTTCTCAGCTAACACTGCAGCATATCCGGCCTCGGTCTGCGTTCCCTCTGCTGCACAAAACACATCTGTGAGAAGTATAAAAGATACTACAAAGACTGTTGCACCAGAAATAGTTTAATATATATTAAGAAAACCAGATAACAAGGAAAAATATATTTTCTCTTAGCAAACAAAAGGTAAGTGAATCAATCTTTTTTCACAGTAGAAATAAATTATGCACAACGTAAGTTCCTGCCTTGTATTATGCTGTTTTGATAAAATATGTCACATATGTTCATTGAAAAGATCAAGACAGACTGACACGGTGGATACCTATAGTCACCTTTTCTCTGAACAACCCTTATTAGTCTGAAGAGAGAACAAAGTTTGTGGGTGGCCAGGTTAGGTGCACACTGTATGAGGAATACCCACCCTGAAACATGAGGCTTTCCATGTGAAGGCTTTCCAACCTTTCAGCTGAGTGGATATTTCAACACACATACAAATGTCTGCAAGGAGCAAGGTTGCAGGTACAAAGCAGAAAGGAGATGACAGCCTCACCGTTGCTTTTCTCTAACAACCTCTTGGGCACTTATCTGGGGGACAGAGACACGGCTAGGTTCAAGAAGCTTTCCTTACAATGAAAGCATAAGGATCTTCCATTAAGGTACATTCACAGCAGCTGCAGCTTAGAAGCCACATGGTACTGATTCAGAACTCATTGTACTTAACCCTGCAATCTTCCATCTGACTTTTGCCTCCATGTATAATCCCAAGTCAGCGGACCTTAAAGCTGCTATGCAGAGGCAGCTAATGAACAAGGGAATATTGCTACTTAGAGAGGAGATACAGCAGTATAGACTCAAACCAATACTGATTTATCTCCATGTTAGCTGAGAATGAAAGAAACTGACCTCAATCTCATACAAGGGAAACTGTAATTCTCAAACTTCAAGATAAAGACTCAGATTAAAAACCCAAACCACCCTTGACGTTGCCAGGCAGCAATAATCTGCAAATGCCACCAAGATCATCAGGAGAGTAGTGTCTTCACTTGCTCGGGCGACCTGTGTAGGATGCTCTCTGGATCTTTGTATGCATTGACTGGATTCACCACAGCTGCATGAACTTCCTCATAGGCTCTGCACACCAGCTCAGTAGACTGCTTTACAATCTGCTCCCTATTGAAGAGCAAACAGAACCAGAACATGACACAACCCCAAGAACTTAAGATCACCCGTCTAAATGATATGCTTCCTCTCCATGCTGACCAGTCCCTACTGATGGGGATGAGTAATTACTGTTTACTGAAGTATTCCTCTTTAGTATGTAGCCTCCAAAAGCCAAGGGCTGTATTTCACACACTGCTTGGTCATTAGGACTAAAACAGTGCCTCACACATATAATACTCCTTAATTTAGGGTGGGCTTACATCCTGATAAAACAAGCTAAAAACACGGGAGGAGAAAAATGCATTTAATACCCTTAACCAACCAAACACTGCAACCCAGAATACCTTAAATGTGTTCAGAACATTTAATCTTAGTTTAGAATTGGGCCAAATCATCTGATAAAGGCAGTAAGAAATTATTTTAGTTATCATACACGTCTATGGAATGAAGCTTCCAAAAATAAATGATATTCTTTAAGCTGTCTTTCTGGGATCTATGTTCTTCTTTATGATAATGCCCCAAATAATATATTTGTAAGACTATCTACAGACATGAGTCTGTGGTTTATAAGTACAATATGTGGATGTAAGCAGGAGAGAAGTCCATTCCGAGATGTTAGGTCAACAGTACCTGGTTCAGATCTACCCTTACTGAGTTAAAGGAACTTGACAATTTTTCAAAAATTGCTAAAGACTGCAAAATAGGAGTATCGAGAAGGACGGCATGTTGAGTAAATGCCTGACACAATGCAGTGATGTTGACTACTTTCTTCTGGGAAGGACAGCAGAACATTGAGGGAGTGCAAATATGGCTCAGCAGTTAAGAGTGCTTGTTCCGCCATCTGGCAATTAAAAGTTCAGACCCCAGCATCCATAGGAACTGTAGAGAACCTTAGCTCCAAGAGGTCCTGAGACAAGAGGATTTGGAGGACTTGATGGCTATGAGAGTCACCATGAAAATGCAAATTCCAGGGTCAGAGAGGACCATGCCTCAAAAGAATAAGCAGAGAGTACAGAGGAAGACACTCCACTAACAATCATACCCAGAGATAGATCCTAAAAGATAAGAAAGAAAATTCTTAGGAATCTATTTAGTCACAGGCAGCTTCATGTGATCTACTGTCTGGCAAATTTTCCTGTAGTTAACTGAGCTTCACGACTGTACCTAAATAATGCCAAAATTATTTTTCATAAGTGAAACAGCCAAACCCATTATGAGATGGTATTTAACAACTGTTCCATATGCATTTGAAAACCATGGTGTTTTTTGTTTTTTCACAAGTCAGAAGTGAGCTTTAGAAGCAGTTTTTAGCTCATTGCTCAGAGCAGGATGATGAATGTTAGGCTGGTCAAAACACTTATTACCCAAACCTCCTACTTCATGATTTGCTTCAATCTGACTAGAATACAAGGAATAAGGACTATGCTGCCATACAAAAGGTTTAAAATCATAAAAAGGCACAAGAATGTGTATTAAACATTATTTCTAAATTAACAAATGATCGGCAAGAGCAGCATACTGAAAACCCCAATGTAGTAATTTAAGTTTTGCTTTCAAGTCATCCTGAAAAAATTAGTGAAATTGAGTTGTAACGCAGGCTACGTTTCCAAGCTAAATTAGCTTACAAATGTCAATAATTAACAACACAGCTGAAAAACCAGAATGAAGCTAAACCACAGATAATAAAATAAAACCTGGCCAAAAGACCTTGCAAGACTGTGTAACTTGTCCTGAGTGTTGGTATGTGACAGCACAGGTCTTCCCCATGCTGCTCCTTAGTTTAAGAAGCCACTGAGATAGGGAAGGAACTAAAACTGAACATAGGCCGAGGAAGACAGAGCGGAAGTGGTGGATCAACAGTCTTGGATGTGTCAGACAGAGGAGTTTGGAAGAAAGGCAGGGTGACTTGTCCCTGTCAACTGGGCCACAGCAGAGGAGAGCTACAAGTGAGGATTCCGAGCTGTGAGGCCACATCTAACCCTCATGGAAGAAGCAGCTCTCATGGTGTGGGAGGCAGACTCTCCACCAAGTCCGCAGATTCACTTTCATTAAGTGTTTCCAGTGAATTCGACATGGCATGGTAGAGAAAAAGCAACACTAAGGAATTCCAAAGGCTGGAACTCAAGTTAAGGCTGCGTCACTTACTACAGTTATCTTGACTGTATTTTATGTCTCTCTACAAAGAACTGATTAGAAAAATCTCCGTAGAACATCTTCACATTTAAACTATACTATTCAATAGACAGATGAGCGCATTTTAATGAGCTTGTCTTTTAAAAATCATATATTCACCTTAGTGTTCTCTCTCTCTCTCTCTTTCTCTCTCTCCCTCTCCCCCCCCCATGGAGGAAATGTAGTCCTAAATAAGTCTGTTGGCTATTTGCATGTTAGTGGTCACTTCTGGAGTGCTCAGACAACTCAGCCTGTTTCGTTTTGAATTCTCTACCGTCTACTTTTTATTTCAAGTAGAAACTACCCTACAAGCTCCCCCTTTCTCTTGGAACGCCTGTGCAAATGTCTTGTCTGTGCACCATACTGCTTTTCTTCCTGCCTGGTGCCAGGTTATCTCGCTAATTAGCAGTATTACGAAACAGTTTGAAATTATGAGAATCATTATGGTGACAAATTATTGATGTCTAAATGGAACAGCTTGAGGGACTGTGTAGCTAAAGTCAAAATGATCAAGAAATCATCTAAGTCCAGTTGTGTGCTTGGGACCTTGAGAAACAGTTGCAGACAAGCTTCTCAGCTGGGACCCACCCACATGGATTTAGCTCAATCATAGCCAAGCTCACAGCCGATGGATGAAAAGATATGTTCAGAATGGTTTCTGTGGTATGATTTTCATAAAGATAAAAAGATTCAAAGCACCAGAGGGACTGGACGCCTATAGTGAAATAGTGTTTTCTGGACACAACAGGGCAGCTGGTTGCTCCTAAGAGCTCATAGTGGCAAGGACTACATGTACAAACCCTGCACAAGGTCAAGTCAGCCAACCCAGCGTGGACAGCAGAGGAGCACACTAGACAACTCCCAAGGAACCACTGGCAACTAACGGCCGCTGGGCAAGGGAAAAGTTGGTTTTCTTCATGGTTGTGGCCTGCCCATGCTCCATCAGATGGTCTGCCACCTAGGCAAGCACCACTAACTGGACTCGGTAGGGTTCAGAAAAGAGCATGTGAAGTTGGGAGGAAAGCTAAGTTCAGGGGTGATGAGGAAGTAGAGAGAGGAAACAGGAGTGGATTTGATCAAAACACACATGCATGTACGAAATTACCAATTTTTAAAGATTATAAAAATGGAAGGGAATGTCATTTTAATAAGAGGTATTAAAAGGTATGATTATTTATAAAGTTAGACCACTAACCACCCAGTGTCTCGGCTACCATCACATCTTAGGAAGGCTCAAATAAAACAAATTGTGTCTAAGTAGGCTAATGTGCTGTGGGACAAGGAAAATCATGACCTTTAGTACCATCTGTCCAAGCACCAGACTCTACCACTTAGGTATCTATGCAGTTTGAGACCTTTAAGCTCCAAAGAGCAGAGTCAAGTAAAGGCTCACCGCTTCCACCAGCCTCTCTTGCGTGGCAGGTTAGCAGTCAGTATGACACCAAAAGACCAAGCTGTTCTCCAAGATCTAGTAACTCCCCAGTGCACCTCCAGCTAGAGAGCAGCTGGCTACACGGTGGCTCACATGGCCAGTGCACTTAGCATGGAGCTAATCTCCGTGAGAAAAATGAGTGGGCTGAGTCTTAACTGCACATTTTTACCAAAAGGCAGTGGCATCTGGTTCCTTGTATTTCAAAATGCTGAATACTCAGAAATTGTTTACCCAGTTACAAGTGTCAAAATTTCAAACCTCTTATACAGATCACTATGGAAGTGCAGAGAGAAATCATTCTCATTAAAATATGCTCATGTGAATTGGCATTTTAAATAGTTACTTAAAGCACCGAGCTACCAAATGAACTGCTTGCTTCTAGAATCAGGGAGCTTGTTAATCAGCATTTAGGATTCTCGTTGCCTAACAACCTGGTACAACTTCAGCATTACCATAAACCTACTGTTCCTAAAAATAGCTTCTTTCCACATGCAGGTTCTGAGATCACTGAGTGAGCTTTCGTGAGGTGCAATCAGACGCACCCAGGACAAGGGCTTCAGCAGTTAAGGGCCATGATGACAATACACTGAGGAGTCAGGAGGTGTGTAGAGCTTTAGTGTTGTAAGGTTTGTTTTGTGTTTTGAGAGGGGACTCTTATGTAGCTCTGACTGGCCTGGAACTTGTAATTTAGACCAGGCTAGCCTGAAGTCCCCAGAGATGTGGCCATCTCTGGCTCCACAGCTGCTCACAGATGTCCTCTAGCCTGTAATTCATGCTCTTCAGGTTCTGCCGTTAGACATATGCACTAGCGCCCTTTATGGACGGATTCTATTATCACTGAAGTGCTTTTCTGTTTCTTGTCTTAGCATCTGGTCTAATTCCCCTGGTGAGGGCACAGCTATTTCAGCGTTATTGTGATTAGTGCTGCCGTGGCCCGGCTTCTGTCATCCTTTTCATTGTAAACTGTCTCCTGCACCCAGGGTGCCTGTATACAGGGTCCTGCTTCCCGTCAGTCTGAGGGAGCTGCCTTCCCGCTGGAGCTCGCTGCCTTCTACATCCAACAGCTGCTGCCAGCTGGGCTTCCGTCCACTGTCTTGCTGTCTCTTCTTTCATTTGCACTTCCTCCTTCCTCCTTGCTTGCTCCAGAGACTACAGTGTTGCACACCCCAGAGATAATTCAGTAGCCTACACCATCACAACAGCACACTCTGTTCCCCTCAAAACCAGTGGTTCTCATTCATGGGTCATGACTTCTTTGGGTGGGGGGTGCAAACAACCATCTCACGGGGGTCACCTTAACACACTGGAAAACACAGATATTTACATTATAATTTATTATGTAGCAAAATTACAGTTATGAAGTATTGGGGGTCACCACAATATGAGAAACTGTATTAAAGGTCACAGCGTTAGGAAGGCTGAGAACCACTGCTCTAAATGCTCCCTTATGGTCCACTAACCCTGAGGTTATTTCCCTTGTTATCATTTTCCTTTATTATCTCTTACAGTGCAGTGTGCTTTTTTTTTTTTTTTTGTATGATTTTTGGTTTACTGGGGCTAGGAATTGAACCCAGGGTTGCAAACACCGAGCCTGAGGATCACACAATTCATGATTACACTTTAGTTCAGCACGCTAACAACAATACCCATTGCACTGTTTCCAACACAAGGTCAGCTGCTATGAATGCCCGCTCTTCCCACTGGCTGCTCTAAGATGATGCTATGGTGCTGTTTATAAGTGGCTTTTGATGACCTGATGGTGGAATGCCCTTGGGCTATGTCTCTGTTCAGGTTTGTTTAGCTTTTTGGGTATGTGAATTCACATTTCACATCGAATCTGTAAAGTTCTTCTTGCATTAATTTTTTTGTTCCAATAACTGCTGTCATGTATAACTGAATGTATGCACATATACGTGTGAGAGAGAGAGAGAGAGAGAGAGAGAGAGAGAGAGAGAGAGAGAGAGAGAGAGAGAGAGAGAGAGAGAGAGAGAGAGAGAGAGACCGACCCCACGTGCTTCCTTCCCTCCTTTGCCTGGCTGGTCTTCCCTTGAGGAATGATGGGGGCTTCGTCTCACACACTGTACTTTTCAAGTGAAGTGCAGCACGCTCAGTAAAACTTCCTTCCTCGTTCTCTCCCTGCACACATTTCCAGTGCCTGCTATAGAATCTGCTGGTGCACCATGAGCATCACCTGTGGATCTGTTTCTATTAACAGATCCTTTTTCTCCCTTGAGTCACCTTTTCCTGCTCCTAGGCAGTTCCAGGGTGTTCTTGCAACGCATGTCTTTATGCGCGACACTAGCAGTCATCCTGCAGAGCTCTGTTTGGAAGGTAGTGAGCTGAGTTAAAGATGAGCGTGTACTTAATGTGAGTTTCAGACAGCCCTGACCGCTGGACTCCATCAGCCCATCAGGAACTTACTTTAGGCTTGGGTTTTCTGAGATCTCTAGAATGTTGTCCAGGCTATTGCTGCTTTTCAGCTTATAGGTTTCCATAAGCTATTATTTCACTCATGTTTCTTTTCCTTTCCTTAATTAAAAACTGGTTTTAGTTTTGTTTATATAGGTTACTGTTCACACAGATAGTGAATACAAGTGCTAGTCACAATCCCACTTCCTTCAAATCAAAAAGAAAACAATTGTTTCACTAAATCCATGCTTTTACTTTTAATAAATATAAGAATATAAGGAAAAATTGACCCTAAAAAATAGCTCTTTAATCATATACACTTTCCTGTATGTTCATTTAGAAACATGTATACTCCCTCCACTAGTTAAGTTACTTCTGGAACATTCTGATACTGATATAGTCATAATTGTGGATTCTATGGGGCACAAAGTGAACACTGGGTCTGGCATCAAAGAGCGGCATCTTTCAAATTTATCCAAAGGGAAAAACTCTTTAAAATCACTTAATTTTTCTATTTCTTTCTCCATTTTTCTAGACAGCTTTACTTCCTGGTCCCTTAAATCTGCTCAATATTTTCCTTTACAACTGAATGTCTAATCAAAATCTCCTTTGAAAGTCAAACCTTAAGACCAAAAAAAAAAAAAAAAAAAAAAAAAAAAAAGAGGGTAAAGCACTGTGTATACCTCAGTGGACTCAGAGTCTGGGGACCCATGTGTCCTGTCACCACGCTAGTGTGATCCGTGTGTCCTGACGCTATGCTTGTGTGATCCGTGTGTCCTGTCACCAAGCTAGTGTGATCCGTGTGTCCTGGCACCATGCTAGTGTGGACCCATGTTCTGTTCTGAACTATGATGTCAAGTGCCACTTTAACTTAGATGGGTTTACCAGCATGGATATATCCCCACTCTAAATTAAGGAGACATCTGTAATATTTAATACTTTTAGATCTACAGAAAACCAATAAGATACAAAACAGTCCATATTAATGACACTGCCTTGACATGTTTAGAATACATGTTTAGAATTTGGTATCGTGCCTATGTAACTGCAATTGTAGTCACCTCAATTTAAAATCATTAGCAAAATATAATTATATATTAATGAGAGATTTTGGAGGGAAATACAAAGAAAGAATCGTGTTGCCAAGGTTAATTCCTTGGGGCACTAAGGCAGGAAAAACACTGTAAACTATAGCTCTTCAAAGGCAATATCTGATGTTTACAATGTTCTGAAACCCCCACCTCCTTCAGAGCAGACACTTACTTGACTGTGGCGCTGAGCAGGAAGTTGAGCTGTGGCATCAGCAGGTGGTCTGGGGCTGAGAGGTAGCGGTCAAACTGAGCCTGGGAGAAGAATGGGATACGAAATGCATCGATTGGCTAAGGAGCTACTGAACAGCCGCTTCTAGGGAGTACTGACTTCAGAAACACCCCTATCATCCTTGTCTAGGGAGCACTGACTTCAGAAACACCCCTATTATCCTCATCTAGGGAGCACTGACTTCAGAAACACCCCTATCATCCTCGTCTAGGGAGCACTGACTTCAGAAACACCCCTATCATCCTCGTCTAGGGAGCACTGACTTCAGAAACACCCCTATCATCCTTGTCTAGGGAGCACTGACTTCAGAAACACCCCTATCATCCTCGTCTAGGGAGCACTGACTTCAGAAACACCCCTATCATCCTCGTCTAGGGAGCACTGACTTCAGAAACGCCCCTATCATCCTCATCTAGGGAGCACTGACTTCAGAAACACCCCTATCATCCTCATCTAGGGAGCACTGACATCAGAAACGCCCCTATCATCCTCATCTAGGGAGCACTGACATCAGAAACGCCCCTATTATGCTCGTCTAGGGGTTTTGTTCGAAGGAGGGCTTCCTAAAACATTATAACTGAAACACCCTAAAACTGTCTGTATTAACTTACTTGGACCTATGTTTGAAAAGTATAGTGGTTAGTCAAAGAGCTTACACACAACTTTCATTGTGTGAGTGCATGTCCCTGTGTGCACATGTGTATGTGGGTGCCTGTGTACAAGTGTTCATGTGTATATAGAGGACAGAGGACGACTTTGGGCATTGTTCTTCAGGTTTCATTCATCTTTTTTCCATCAAGACAGTGTCCTAGTAGCCCAGAATTTGCCAAGTGGGCTAGACTGGCTGCTGAGCCCCAGGCACCCTCCTCCCTCCCTCCTCCTCCCAGCACTGGGTTTCAAGTATGCGCCACCACACCAGGCTTCCATGGGTTCTGGGATCCATCTCGGGCTCTCAACCTTACAAGTAACTGTCTAAGAAACTTGGGTCTTTTTAAGTGAACCTGAAATTCATTCACTGTCATAAGAAATTTTTTAGACATACATTTTCCTCTGAAATTCTAGTTTTCTAGAACATTTTTCACTGGGTGTATATGCTACGACTGTTACTTCTCTGTGAGGTCTTTACCACAATGTAGTATACCCTATCCGTCTCACGTAGGGCTCTGAGCTGTAGACTGTCTGTCTACAGCAACACTGTCACTTCTGCTATCTCTCCTGCAAGCCTGTTACTTTACAAGCCTTTGGTTACTTTTAGTCCTGGTGGCTGTGATGGTTAACTTCAACTGTCTGTTTGGCAGGATTCAACTGGCCAGGAGTCTCAACAATGGACTATCTAAATGGGCTGTGGATGAGAAACGGTCTTAACTGGGTTAGTTGAGAGAAGACCCACACTGAGACAGGGCGATACCATTTCATGAGGCGGGGCCACATGAACAGCGGAGAAGGAGCTGGATGTGTCTGGGTGTGTCTGCATTCACTGATCTCGGGGCGGGGCCACATGAACAGCTGAGAGGGGGCTGGATGTGTCTGCATTCACTGCTCTCTTCTGACTATGGTCTGCAGTGCTCAGCTGCTTCAAATACCCATCAGGACAGACAGCACCTCCAACTGTGAGTTAAAGCAAACCCTTTCTCCCTTAAGTTGATTTCGTCAGAGTCGTCTATAATAAGTTAAAAACTAAGGCAGTGATATGTAGGGCATCTCTGCTATCCAATTATTCATCAGAGGCCATTCAGTTTGTTAGGGATTATCTGAAGAAGTCAGGACAGATGGTAACTGCAGTAGGCAAGGTTCCAGGCTCTGGAAGGTGACTTCCAGATGAATCAATTAAAGAGTTAGAGCAACAGTACTGCCGTGAAACTTGCAGAGGGGTGATCTTATGAGTGACAGGGCTATGTGACTCACAAGTCATGCCATGGGGAGATATGCACAGAACATATATGCATATCTGTGATTCATGCACAGTGCAAGCATAGTACAGAAGAGCATGCGGCCCAAAGTGGTGCTCATACAGAAAGGAAGTCGGCGCGTGTGTGTGTGTGTGTGTGTGTGTGTGTGTGTGTGTGTGCATGAGTGTGTGCAAGTGTGTTTGGGAGTGCACATGGATGATTATGTGTGTCAATGACTGTGTTTGAGTCTGTTTGAGTATATATGAATGTGTATGAGTGCATGTGTGTGTATTAGTATATGCATGAGACTATATGCTTGAGTGTATATGACTGTGAGTGTATATGTATGAGTGAGTGTGAATATGTGTATCAGTGTGAATGTGCTTAAGCATGTATATGCCTGTGTGAATGTAACCGGTGAGTGTGTTCATGTGTGTGACTATGTCCAAGTGTGTATGTGAATGTCTGTGTGTACACACTGTACAGTGCTGGGAACTGAATGCAGGGCTGCATAAATTCCAGGAAAGCATTCTACTACTGCTACAAGAGAGCTGATCACTGGGAAAGAAAGAATAAATAAAGGTTTTGTGAATCTCGTGCTGAAGAGTAATAAACTACTCTAAAACATGAATCCAACTTCGGTTATCATCTTAGAAAAAAACACAAGTTTAAACAGGACTCACAGCAACACAGTCTGGAACTCACAACCTAACCTCACGTGTCACCACTCCTGTTCTGCATCAGATTAGGAACCAACCCTGAAAATGAAGAACTCCTAACTATGGTGACTTGATCAAGGTACGACGGGAGATTGCAGCAATGGTAAACCCTGGTCAGAGCTGATAAAAGCGGCAGACACACAGGAGCTACTACTGAGCTCCAACTGAGCAGGTGCATACATCAAGAGAGAAACTATCGTCCAGGACACTATCACCGCACAGTAACCCACAGTTAGCACTGCCAAAGGAAACCAACTGAAACGCTTCCTTATGCACTTACCATTGCAGCCTTCAGTGCCACAGAATCTAGGTTGGGCAAATTGGCTAAAGAACCCTACAAAAAAGTTATAAAAATGGTCTATTAGAAGATTGCCCACTTTCAGGAAACTCACATAGGTGCTTCCAAAGTAAGTTGTTTGCTCTAAACTGCAGTAAGACTAGGGCCATAAATGAGGAGCAAAACCACACATTTATCAGCTAGGGAAATACCACCACACTCGAGGGTTACTCAAAGCAAGAAAAGCAAGTGACGTAGCATTTGGAGGCCGCTGAAGCCACGGGGTTTCAGGAAACAGAGACCAGTGAGGAGCTGGCTCTCCGGGGGTGAAAGTTGAGAATTCCTTGCTTTTTAAAGCAGCTTACTTTTTGGTCTGCTCCTCATCTATGGCTCTACTCTTACTGCAGTTAAGAGAAAACACTTCTCGTTCAAAGAACCTACACGATTTTCTGAACTTGGACAATCTTCTCATCTTATTTTGTGTTAGGGTCTCCCATTTCTCTGGGATCTATCACTATTAGGGTTCTGTAAAATCATTTCAGCCCAGAACATTTTCCTTTACTGATCTGCTAAATTAGATGGAGGATAATATTATTTGCATAGCAATCCATATACCCATTCAGCTGAAAGTAAAATTTAAACTCCCCCAGTATGAACATGTTGTACACTTCATAATACCCATTTCTGTATAGTGACATCTTCTGTAACTAATCCCTAAGCATTTTCATTACTTCTAACTGAGAATTATTTGCATCTTCAGGCACTCTCCTGAGCCTATGACAGACACTATGCTTACCCCCGTCTCAGCGGAGGACATAAACATTGAGAACTGTTCATCATGGCAGAGTCAATATTAAAATCTAGAGTCCACCTCCAGGAGCCACCCCTAAGCTGCCCTTTGCCAGGGCAAGCGGTGCTCACCTGCTCAGGCTTGTGTTGCTGTACAGTATTGTAGATGTAGCTCAAGCCAACCCGAGTCAACACATAAGAGGCTTGCTCGTTTATAAGAGTGTCCAAATGGGCTTCAATCTAGAATGAAATGCAGCACAAAGAACGCGTTAGGAGAGAGCTAACAGTGACAGCAGTAAAACAGAGCTGCCGTTGAGGCCGTGTCTTGGTGGGGCCCAAGGCAGCCTCCACAACAGATTTTTCTTCCCTCTCGAGAAATCCCCACTACTTAAGAAGTTCTGACTCAAGAGGACTCTAGGACTGGCCCCGAGCTAAGGAATAGGGGTTGCTGCTCAGCTACTTCAGACGCAGAACTCAAGTCACAACAGCTGTGTAAAACGAACTCTCAGGGATAACAAGGGCTTGACAGCTACATTCTGAGCCTCCCCCCCCCATTCCCTGCACAGTCCAATCTGAGGAACCTGCAGCTGAGGAATGGGGTGCCTGAAGGAGAGCGTCCCAGTAAGGAGCCGCTCGTCCCATTTGCCAGGTCCTCCCTTCCCTTCCACACCACAGCGTCCCCAGTTTTACCATGAGCCCCCGCCAACCCTCATTTCTGTCACCACACGAAAGCCTGCCTAGTTCAAGCAATCCCAATACTTACACTCCTCCCGCTAAGAAGCTCACCACATTATTCTTTCTAATGAAAATTCCCAAGGAAGTACAATTAAGAGCCCTTACTTCTTCTTGTATTTACTGAAAACCAAATAATAATAATAATAATAATAATAATAATCATGATAATGACAAGAAGAAGAAAAAGAGGAACAAAGAAAAGAAGAGGAAGAATTTGTTCAGATACAAGCATTTAATGAAAGTGAAAAGAAGCTGGGCATTGGAGGCACATGCCTTTAATCCCAGGACTTGGGAGGCAGAGGCAAGCAGATCTCTGTGAGTTCAAGACCAGCCTGGTCTACAGAGTAGGTTCCAGGACAGGCTCCAAAGCTATACATAGAAACCCTGCCTCGAAAACCACACACACACACACACACACACACACACACACACACACACACACACACACACACACACACACACACACACGAAAAGGAAATCAGTTAATACTAATGACCAAATTAGTGACCTGAAGGAATAATGAAGATAGAGTATCAAAGAAACAAGCTAGAGAGACAGAATAAACTGGAGAACAGATCCATGATATGAAATGAAACAAAGACAGGATCTCCAGAACATAAGACAGTAACACAGAAATGATTTTTAAAAAAATTAATGAATAAGTGAAAGATTTGAATCTTCAAACTGAAGTGGCTCTCAAATGTCTAAGATTGAAATACCAGGAAAAGAGAAGCACCTAAAATATTCTGGGGAAGCACCTGAAGTATCCTCACAGGTTTCTAGTTGGACAGACCCAGCTGCTCCAAACAGGAGCTTTGGACTTGCCTGGAGTTACAGCAATGCTGGAAAAGCTAAGTGAGAGCAAGGGGATCTGTGAGATGAGGCCTGGGCATCGAGAACCCTCGTCTCACAACATAAACTGTGTCTTTGCATGAACCACGACTGCACCACTCTGTATGCCTCTGACAGTATGTGTGGAGGTCCAGACGACATATCAGATGTGGGTGGGGAGAATACAGACCCTGGACAAGCTAACATTTAACAGATATGGAACTTGTGCCATGCAGAAAATGTAAAGGACTCTGAGGACAAACATGTGACGGCTGGTAATGAAAAACAATGAACATTTTAAGAAAGTTCATCCGAATCTTTCAAGAGAAGCACGAGATGAATGGCAGATTTGAGTTTGGATTAGTGACAAATATAAAAAGCATATTATGAAGTATATTAAGTTCATGGAAATAAAGTTTAATCATTTTCTCTTCCATGGCTCAGCTAGCACAGGATGTGTGCTGATGGCATGCCAACACAGTAGTGGTCCAGAAGTTTAGCTGCACTGGAAAGGAGAAAACTCAGTGTAAGGCAATCACCCATCTGAGACTATATGTGTGCAGATCAAGAAAGCAGAGGCGATCAGGAGACAGGAGGCCGAGGTCGTGAGGACGGCGGGACACAGAGAGAGCAACAGAAGACATAAAATAGGCAGGAGGGACTGAGGGGGATGAGCTAACCAGCTGGTGAGGGCATGGGAGGACAGCAGAGGAGGGAAGGTGACCACATGTATGTATGACGATGCTATCATGAAGCCCATTGTTTGTGTGCTAACCTAAAAAATTAGAAGAAGAAAAAAAATCAAGCCTTGCCAAAATCTCCAGTGGCAACATACACAAGTATTTAGAGTTACCAATATAAATTCCAAAAGAAATGAATGTCCAGATAGATGAATGGGAGACGTTCATAGCTGTGCCTTTTTACAACAAACTCCAAAATTATTAAGACTTTATGATTATGGATCATTCTCAAATGTTTTCAAATGAATTAGAAATCAGAAAATTTAGATGTATCAAAAGCCACTCCTCAGAAAAATGCAAGGCAACTGTACCCACTAGCAGTCTTTAGGCTTCTAGTGACAGACATTTGGGGCCTTCTGCTTTAGCCTGGTTCCCTTGAACACCGCATCCACCAGTATTATGTCACTGGGTGCCTTGTGAATGGCTTTGACTTACCCATTACACACCTTTGAGAGACACTGGCTTATGGGAACAGTGCCCGTTAAACCACAGCGTTTTGCCTAATACTGCTTTACACATGGATAAAAGGTGTCTGGCCTCTGTAACACACGCTGCACCAGTTACATGGCCTGTGAACTACAATACGCTATAAAACACAACATCTGCACATCTGCACACAGCACTGAACACTCAAATGAATCACAGAGCTTCCTCATTCCATCCTATAGTATCATCTGATCAATTTCCTTAACCACTTCACATTCTGCTTCTTTAAAGCTGAAAACAAAATTGTGTGTATGCGTGCATGTGTACGCTTGTGTGTGTGTGTGTGTGTGTGTGTGTGTGTGTACATCCTTCAGACAAACCGTCTTAAGGAATTCATGAAGTCAGGCCATTGACATTTGTCAAAAGCTAGTAACTTAAAGCTAGCACACTGCAAAAGCAGACTCACAGAGAAGCTACTGTCTAGCACAGTTTACCTGAAACTGAAGCATTTCCAGGCGCCTGTCGGTGAATTCAAACAGAGCCAATGTTGTCTTCATCATGTACAGTGAGTTGACCATGAACGTAGCCATGTCAGCTGTGCCTAAATTGCTGGCTGATACTGTACACATTTGGAGGAGAGGATCTAACACACACGACAAAACCTGTAAATGAAAAGAAAATGAATTCTTATTTCTTAATCAGGATATGGTCCTGGGGTTACAACCTTTCAGAATTAAATGCCAAACTAACTGGAAGATAGTCAACTTATAGAAGTGCATGAAGGAAAGATTAACAACAAAACCAGAGAGTGTAAATATGGGCATCACTGAATCACCCTTTAAATATGGGCATCACTCAATCACCCTTTAAACCAAGAGCTGATTAATACTGAAGAAAAGTCAACAATAAAGGGATCGTCAAAGTATATGGTCACATGTGCCAACATCTGACAGAATGTATAGTAGAGGGTGAGCGAACAATCAAAGATTTACAACTACCTGCACGAAGTCAGCCTGCCGAGCATCCAAGGGGACAACTGAGGAGTCGTGTGAAGCCAGCACCTCCCGCAGTAAAGTGAGGGTCTGATTCAGGGCGGAACTGGGTCCAAGGTCAGGTGGTGGGAGCTCAACCTGGACCAAAAGAACAGTTTACCCTCTACCCACGTTATCTTCAGGAAGCTACAGCACACAGATAAAAACACAAGTGTCTGATGCACTAGGAACTTTCAACTTGTTATTGCCAGTCTAAGTACTCAGCTCAGAGTGACAGGGTGACCAGCCTACCCTGGAGTGATTACTATAACTTTCTACATTAATGCTCAAGAATGTATGAGAAAAGTTAGTGTTTACTTGAGTTCTATAATTGCATTTACTACATATTGAACGTAACCTGGTTTTATTTTGTTCTTAGCCCAAATTATCAGAATAAAGAAATCCCTGCAGCTGCAGTGCCACTGAGAATGGCTGTATCGTTGAGAGCCATGCACTCCAGGGCTCAGTGTCTAGGCTGGGGCTCCTGACTCCACTCTCCATCACAGGCCCCTGGAGAATTCCAGGTTCACCTATGGGCTACGCAAACTTTTGAAAGATAAGTTTAAATGCTGGATCTGCCACTTAAGTCACTGTGTGACCTTGGGAAGGCTAAGTCCTCAGAGCATCAGAAGGATGCTGAAGGACTGGATGGTATCCTGCCTCAGCTACTGACAAGAGGCCCCAGCTACCTCTGAAGGGAAGTTAGGCCTAACATGTTGCTGCTGCTTGGAAGCACCACCAGAGGGCCCCTGTGAGCTTTCTTTTTACTCATTTCTTTTCAATACAAAAAAGAACTTAAGCAAGTTTGAGACTCTGCCTAGAAAACTTTAAAAGGAGAGCAGAGGACTTTTAACTTTAACAGTCAAGTATTGTAAATGAAACAAAATTTGATAATTAGAGTCTTTGTAAGGAACTATAGCCTATGTCAGGTAGACCTAGAAAAAGAGAAAACTTTGAAATGTCAGTTACTTAAGAACGTTTCCTGCATAAAAGTTAATGAATAATTGACATCAGTGGGAATGGCAGAGTGCCCTGTGAAAATACTTTCTTTTATGAAAGCAATATTAGCAAGACAAGTTATGAGACACACGCACAAACAGTAAAATATGGTCTGTGACAACCATAGAAGTGTGAAAACAACAGACACAATTAACTAAAAATGCTACAGGTGAGTAAAATAACTCAAAGGAAATTTTACTACAGGGGTCCAGCAGGCACAAGCAGTGGTCACTGAATTTGAAACAGGGTGAGCAGAGACTATCTGGTCTGTGGAGCAGCAAGAAATGAAAATGAACAGAACCCCATGGGACCCTGACACCAACTTCGGCACAATGTAGGGTCCAAAAGAAACAAAGAACAAGGAACAGGAAGTATTGGAGGAGACAATGGTAGATGACCCCCCAGATCTGATGAACACTGATCTCAATGGCCATGCAGCTGACTGAACCCCAACATAAATGTGCTGTGGTCTCCATGGAGACAGCATAACTCAAAAGACGAGTTGGGGGGATGGCGCAGGGGTGAGGAACACGGGCCATTCTTTCCACAGCACCTAATTCAATTACCAGCACACACATGGTGGCTCACAACCTCCTGTAACTCACTAAGATTAACAACCAACGTGTCACCAAAATGCACTATATGTCACATACTTATGGGTTGGAAGAAGCACAATGCCACCCAACAATTCTATTTCTGGAAGAAGCAAGTCTTTAGGAGGCAGGAGAAAGTGATATCAAGACAAAACTATTTTTTAGTAGCTTTGTTTCTATTTTCTTTTCCTCTTTGTGAATGGAAAGACAACTTCATGAAGAAAAAGTTATAACACGTTCACATGATGTAGCACATTGCTATCTATGATAATAACCAGCACAAGAAAGAACAGAGCTGAATGGGAGGGAGAAAGCAAAGGAAGTAGTGGAGACAGGGAGATGAAGACTCAGACAGAAAACAGAGGAACTCAACAAACTCACTCCAGGGAGCCAGCCAGATGCAAATGGGTCATATACACTAAGTAAAAGGCAAAGACTTGAGGATGATTTAACACACACACACGCACAGTTTACAAAGCCACACTCAAGCTGCATGTCATCTTCTAACAAGTTGAAAGGAAAAAGACATAAAAAAGAACATTTTGCAAACAGCCCCATGAATACAAGAGAAAGCACTAGTGAGGTAGAAGAACCACTAGGATCAGGGCCGTCTTCTGATACTATAAGGTCAGTGTGTGACGAAGACAGGACAGCTAGTTGCCTCCACAGAAGCATGAGGCACCAGAACCCCATTATTCCTGTACAGAACTCTGCTCGACTTACAGCGCTCAACTGGACGGGCCTGTTGGGTTCTGTTGTTTGTTTATATCACATGGAGCTTTTCTACTTAGGTCCACAAATGTTCGTGTATACGATACAGAAGACAAAGCTGTGTCATTGGAAGGTGAAACCATGAACCAGGCTGGAAAAAGCATCTTGTAAGAGTTCCAGGCTCCACAGTGTCACATTGGCAGCTCACCTTAGTTATACATATTTGAAAACTCTGCACTGAAAAATGTTTAAAATCGAAATATTTAGAAAACAAGGTGGTAAAATTCACCTTGAGATTTCTCTCCAATTAGGATACAGTTACACTAAACCAGAAAGATAAACTATGACCTGAGGTGCCCTAAGCTTCTCCAACATGAATTTGAAATAGAAATCACTCAAGACAAAACATGAAAGCAGCCCATTCAATGGCTGAAGCTCAGGGATGCTGGCCACACCCACCTTGTCCATCAGCTTACTTGCATGGAGACTCAAGCTATTGAAGAATATTTTTTTACTGAGCAAGTGCATTTCTTCAATTGTTGTCAGTAGAGTAGCTGCGCTGTTTCCAACGATGCCACTAAAACAAAGAATATTTCATTTCAGATTGCAAAGCTGAAGCTAACACACTTTAGCTCACTGAGTGCTGTGCCCTACAGAGGTCTAGTTGTGGAGGCTGGAGAGATGCACAGTGAATAAGACCGCTTGTTTTCAAGCTTGAGGGCTGAGTCTGAACCTCTAGCACCCACACAAAGGCCATGCATGCACCTGTAACCCAGCACTGTGGGCCGCACGAGCCTGTGACCAGCCTAAAAGGCAAGTTGCAGGTCCTCAAGGGAGTAAGGCAAACAGTGACAGAGGATGTCCCCTGACAGTCTCTCCTGGCCTCCTCATGCAGGATGGGCATATGTCTCACACACGCATACACACCAGGGGGCAGGAGAGGGGGAGACACTCATAGATTGATTGACCTGTGCTAAACAGTGAGACCTAACAAGAAAAGCAAAAACAGATTTAAATATGAATGTGTATGTACATGATCTTATATGAAAATCAATCACCCCAGTTTCATATAAATGCCAGCTTTCTTTTCATTTGAGGAAGGGGATTAAAGAGGGAAAGAAGCGAACTCAAGTTGGAGTATCCAGAGTATGAGGGTCTGAAGTACGGAACCGTGTACGTCACTGTAGAGAAAGCTCCCGATTTCAGAGCACTCAGGAATGGGTATTTAGATGACGGTGTTGGATGGGTAAAGGCTTTCCTAATAGTCCACAATTCTGGTCCCCAGCATTCTGGGGAAGGGTTAGTGAGCCTGAACCACGCTTCCAATATTTCATGACACGCTTTAGCAAGGCAGTGAGTCAGAGCCGAAGTCTGTGGCATGCAAACACTCCCTTCTCTAGCGTAACATAACACACATGCATCTTGATTATACAGCAAAGTCTGGTTTCCATTTGAAGAAAGCCAATCAATAGCTCTGACTGATTCGATAATTAGATTGCATAACACTGAGTTCTTTTCATTAAACTAGCATATCTTACCAACAATATATGTACAAACTATAGTTACTCAGCTTCATATAGCAGCTTAGGTAGGAAAAGGAAGGGGAGAACAATGACAGCCCCAAGACAAACAGGTACACCAAGCAAAGATGGTCTCACATGATACACAGAAGAAACAGGAGTGTGTCCTGACTACAAAGAAACACTCCAGGGGATACAAGCACATTTACTGTTCAATTACCTGATTGTATGATGGTAAAACTTGAGGAGATTAGAAATTTTATATAATAAAACTGCCCCAGGTTCAGCAAGTATTACTTGTTCAATGCGAACCTATGGAAACATGAAGAAAAAAAAAAAAAACCCTGAGCATTTATTTCTTAAAAGTACACCTTTTCTTCACTAATGATGGAGTATAAACAATACAAAAAAAACTCAATTTCATTATATTGACAACCAGAAAATGCTTTCTGAAGAAATTCTGCATATTGTCATAAGATATAAACATTTTAGTACGAATTCTTAAAAATGACTGACTCACTATCTGCAACATTTGGCTCAAAGCAGGCAATACTGAACTAGAGCAGGGCGACTCTGAGGTTCAGCACCACTGTGTAAGACCAAACTGCAAAGGCAGCTGCAGCACTGCTAAAAACAGAAGCTTAGTCAGCACCACTCACAAAAGGAAAGAAAGAATTCTGTCTGCGCTACACCGTTTGTTCCTGTTAGCAGAGACTAGGAAAGCCACAAGTTCACATCAACGAATCTGTCCAGCTGTAGGGCTGCCAGGACACAGCCAGACCTTAGGTGAGGGTGAGCCGCTCTGTCTCCTTAAACGACTCCTCCCAGCCACTGCTCACACCCTCTATTCTGTCCGTCCTTACACTGCTCCTCCTAGGATTATCTGCCTGCTTTTTAAACTCTGCTGCTAACATCCTTCAATCCCTGCAGCATCGGGTTTAACAGTGCATGTGCTCAATACACCCTCTGAGAGTTGAGGCGTCTCTGTTCTTTGATGTAAGGATATAGCAAATATATGTGTGTATTGTGTTGTAACATTTTACAAAGTTACAGGAATTAATTTATCTTCACATGTGCATATTTATGAAAGTGACTTCTCTTTGGCATGAGGCAATTAAGACAAGGAGTGACACTTATATTTAAAAATCATCAGTTTCCATATGAACACCTTTCTTGTGTGTGTGTGTGTGTGTGTGTGCGTGCACACGGTTGCATGCAGGTGTGAACGCCCTTGCATAGCTGTGTAGGGCCAGCAGTCTATATAAGGTATCTTTCTTCATCACTCTCGATCTTGTCTTTTGGACAAGGTCTTTCCCTGAACCTGCAGTCACTGGCTGACTAGACAGCTGGTCAACAAGCCCCACAATTATAATCTCTTTAGAAAGAGAGAGAGAGAGCCGGGCGTTGGTGGTGCACGCCTTTAATCCCAGCACTCGAGAGGCAGAGGCAGGCGGATCTCTGTGAGTTCGAGACCAGCCTGGACTACCAAGCGAGTTCCAGGACAGCCTCCAAAGCCACAGAGAAACCCTGTCTCGAAAAAAACCAAAAAAAAAAAAAGAAAGAAAGAGAGAGAGAAGGGTAGACAAAGGAAAAAGGAAAGAAGGAAGAGGAGGAGGAAGGAAGACAGAAATGACCAGAGCCCAGCTCTCTCAGCCCAGAGCTCTGGAGGGAAAGTGACACCCTGGAGTCACAGTAGACAGCACAGGCAACTAGGAAAAGCAGAGTGTGACAATGCCACACAAAGGAGCACTTCTTCTCCCGAAGGCCTCAGGAGATATCAGCCATTCTGCAAAACCAAAAGTCTTGGGGGAAATGCAATTTTTGTTACAAGAGGAAAATAAAAACTAAAGACGAGAGGAGATGTGACCGTGGCAGCAATGGGCTGGGAGTCAGAACGGAGAACGAGTCCTCGGTAAATCACGTCCTTATTAGAGGGACAAGGGAGACTCGGGCAGATGCGTACAGGGGCAGACAGGATGCAGGGAATCGTACAGCAGTCAAGTCAGGACACAGGGAAATGGGCAGTGCTGTCCTGTTAACGCCAGAGCGGGGAGGGTCTGGAGGGGCACAGGGGAACAGGACACAGGCAGACAGCTCCCATGTCCTAACCTCACAGGGAGTGAGTAACGGCCTAGCCAAGTGCTGCCCAGCTCCATTTCCCACACCTCTTATCTGTGTACATCTATTTTCACAGAACTCGTAATTTAAGGAGGTCAGGAGCACATGGCACACTACGGATTTAATTAGAAGAGATGAACATTTATGGGGAGGAAGGGCTGTAACCCATGGATCTGAAGACGGCAGGCAGACTCACAAATCCTCGTGCCTCTAGCCGGGAGTCTTACTGTGAGTTTGATGCTGAGGAGACAGCATCCTACATACAACAATGGAAGTAGTTTTGAACAGACTAGAGATTTCTTAAAACAAGCAGACAAAAAACTGGAAATAAACAGGCTTGAGTGCTAGTCACTTTCTGTCAGCTAGCAGAAGCTAGAGTATTTTGGCCTGTGGACCACTCTGTGGTCCTTCTTCTTGATAGATGAGGTGTGGGAGGCCCAGCTCACTGTCACGGTGCCACTCACGTGCGGTGGTCCCTGGACTGCAGAGCAGAGCAGGCTGAACGAGCCATGAGAGCAAGCCGGCACACAGCACGCAGCCATGGCCTCCACCTCCACTCCTGCCTCCAGGTTCCTGCCCTGACTTCCCTCAGTGACCGACTGTGATGTGGAAATGTGAGGAAAAAAATTTCCTCCCTGAATTTCTAATGACAACTTCCATCTTAATATTTTGCTCAGTGATCTACTTGCTTTATCTCACCAACATAAAATTTATTCTTCTTAATTTTTAAGCAGCTAAACATCTCCTAAAAACATAATAGGTACTTAGTTATTAAGGAAAGTTGTAGGAAAATAAAAATTTTGGGGGGGTGATGTTCAGACAGGGTGTCTCTGCATTGCTCAGACTGGCCTCAATCTTACTATGTCATCCAGGTTGGTCTCAAACTAGCCACCTAGAATGCTGGGATTTTAGGTATGTGTCACCATGTTTGGTAAGGGCTTAATTTCACCTCTTTTTATCAACTGCCAGTATATACAAAACAATTAAAATGTGTATGCATTGTGAATGTCTCAACATCACACTGACAGGAAGTATTTCATTTGGTGGAGGGCATAAGGTAATTTCAAATACTTATTATCAAGTTATTGTGGTATTTGAATTTGTAAGCACAATAAACTCAAAAGGTAGGTCACCTGAGGCTTGTTTGTCTGGATCAAAACAGCAAAGAAAATCTAGGAGTAAACAATGTTGAGTCTATGATAAGAATAAATCATAAAACTTAACGTCTACACACTAAAGGGAGTCAGTCCACTGCCAAGCTCTCTGTGATTCCATGACGTCAAGAGTGTGGCGGGTGCCTCGCTTTACCGTCACCACTGTCCACGGGAGGTACTTGCGAGCGGGGCCCACGCGAGCACACTGTTTCAGAAAAGGTAAACACTGGGACAAGAGCAGAATGAGTTCTGGACCTGCTGACTTCAAAGCCTGCCCCTGCACGGCAAGCAGTCTGGCAGCAACAGGTCAGTACGCTCCTACTTGGATTAATCATCATTCATTAGTATGATAAACAAGAGGAAGGCGCATGCTTGAGGCAATGCATGAATACACTCATTCACTTGCTGATCCAACTTAATGCCTCTCCTCGCTTGCTTACCAGTGGCGCAGGAAGCATGACCTATAAAACCAGTTGATACATGTAAACTACAGCTGTTCCCATCTTCTTAGAGAGCAGGCAATGGTTTCAGTTTCAGTGCATTTTATCAGCCTAGCTGATTTGATATTTTGATAAAACTGTACCTTGATTTCAAGTTGTCACTTATCAATTTCTCTGAACTCCTAAGAACAAGTCAATACTTTGGTTAGAGACCTGAAACCATGAAACTCTTTACCTTTAGAGGCCGACACACACCCTCAGTGATATGTCCAACAACTTCTTGAATATTTTCTTCAACACCTAAAATTAAGTACAACATAATTATTTTTCCCAAGTTATATCTGACTTCTGTAAGTTTTAAGAACTACTGATAAAAAATACCTAAAATATTTATGATTGTTATGAATGGCATTCAAAATAAACAGCAACATTTTGCTAAGTGTAATTTTTGGCATGTTGCTAATGGTGCTAGTAACTAGTATGTGTCTACAAAATGCTGATAGTTTGTGTGATTAACAAAATGAACCCTGCTGGGTGTTGGTGGCTCATGCCTTTAATCCCAGCACTCGGGAGGCAGAGGCAGGCGGATCTCTGTGAGTTGGGGCCAGCCTGGTCTACAGAGCGAGTTCCAGGACAGACTCCAAAGCAATACAGAGAAACCCTATCTTGAAAAAGCAAAAAAGCAAAACAAAACCAAACAAAAAAGAACCCTGTCATGGAGGGTTTTCTTTTTAAAAGGGGATTTTTTTTTGTAGAGTATTATTTTAAGATGTGCTTCATTTGTTTACCCTATGGAACATTTGTTTAATGATGCAAAGATGTGTTGCATTCTTTTATGTTGCATTTGTTTAACTCTGTGAAGCTGTGTTACTGTGCCTGTCTAGTAAAGAGCTGAATGGCCAATAGCTGGGTAGAAGAAAGGATAGGTAGGGCTGGCAGGCAGAGGACAGGAAATTGAGAAAAGGAGAGAGGACTCCAGGGGCCAGCCACCAAGCTACACAGCATGCCACAGTGTAAGAAGGAAAGAAAGGTATTAAGACTAGAGAAAATACAGAGAAACCCTGTCTCGTAAAAACAAAAAAAAAACAAAAAAAAAAAAAAGACTAGAGAAAGATAAAAGCCCAGAGGAAAAGGTAGATGGGATAATTTAAGAAAAGAAAAGCTGGCTAGAAACAAGCCACACTAAGGCTGGGCATTCATAAGAAAGAATAAGATTCTGCATGATTTATTTGGGAGCTGGGTGGCAGGCCTCCAAAGAGTCAAGAGTTTAATAACAAACAAAAATCTACAGACCCTTTTGTGAAAAACCTGAGTGGGGTACAGAGCAAACCCCACATGAGCCCTGTGAGCTGGAAGAGGTTGAAAGTACAACAGGACGGTTCTGCAAATGCTTCACTGTAGCTAACATACAATGAGAGTAGAAGGTTGAAACTGACCATGCCACCCCAGGAAGAACTGACATTGTTGTGTGCTGTTTATTACTGAGCACTACACATTTATAAGGGGAGGCGGACAGGCAACCACTTTCATTTTCAGGGCGAGGCTCAGAATTCAACCTAGCAATAGCTTATCTTCAAACTTCAAAACACTGCCTCTCACATAAACTTTTCTAAAGGCACCTTCATGGAAACACACCCCTTCTTGCCATTCCCTCTGTGAGGAGGGGTAGGGCGTCACCATGCAGCCCTGGATGGCCTAGAGCTCACTATGTGTAGATCAGGCTAGCCTCAAATTCAGAGATCTGCCAGCCTCTACTTCCTGAGTGTTGCAATTAAGTGTGTGCACCACTATGCATAGTCTGGAAATGCATTCTTTTAAAACTGGGTAATGTAAGGATAGTAACAAGAGAAGAAAAAAAGTACAAATTTTGTTCATGCCCCAAATTCCACCACTCAGAAGGCTGAAGCAGGAATGATAGTCTGAGGCCAGTCTGCAATGCACAGACCATGTCTCACATAAACAAAAATGCAAACTTCGTACCAATTAGGATATATGCTTCACCATATGAAGAGCTGAGCTTGTGACATAAGTGCCACCACAAACTTGTATGTACAGCACAGTGATGTGTGGCCACTTTATACCATCCAGTCAGATGATACTGAGAACGGCATTTCTCTCTGCTTCCTATCAAAATCAGAACACCCTCATCTTACACACTAAACTCCCAGGCTCTAATATAAGTCTCTTATAATGTTTGACCTCATCAACTCGACTAGATTTCAGAATCACTCAAGACACAAATTATCTGGGTATATCTGTGATAGCACTTTTAGAGTAGTTTAATTGAGGCAAAAAACTCACCCTAAATACGGACTAGGCCCAAAGTGATTCAAATGGAAAAAGGAACAAGAATTCTCAAGGCACACCAGCATCATCTCTCTCTGTTTCCTGACTGTGGACCACTATGGTGGAACTCCAGCATCATCTCTCTCTGCTTCTGACTGTGGACCACTATGATGGAACTCCAGCATCATCTCTCTCTGTTTCCTGACTATGGACCACTATGATGAACTCCAGCATCATCTCTCTCTGTTTCCTGACTGTGGCCACTATGATGGAGCTCCAGAATCATCTCTCTCTGTTTCCTGACTGTGGACCACTATGATGGAACTCCAGCATCATCTCTCTCTGTTTCCTGACTGTGGACCACTATGATAAACTCCAGCATCATCTCTCTCTGCTTCTGACTGTGGACCACTATGATGAACTCCAGCATCATCTCTCTCTGTTTCCTGACTATGGACCACTATGATGAACTCCAGCATCATCTCTCTCTGTTTCCTGACTATGGACCACTATGATGAACTCCAGCATCATCTCTCTCTGTTTCCTGACTGTGGCCACTATGATAAACTCCAGCATCATCTCTCTCTGTTTCCTGACTATGGACCACTATGATGAACTCCAGCATCATCTCTCTCTGTTTCCTGACTGTGGCCACTATGATAAACTCCAGCATCATCTCTCTCTGTTTCCTGACTATGGACCACTATGATGAACTCCAGCATCATCTCTCTCTGTTTCCTGACTATGGACCACTATGATGAACTCCAGCATCATCTCTCTCTCTGTTTCCTGACTATGGACCACTATGATGGAGCTCCAGCATCATCTCTCTCTGTGTCCTGACTGTGGACCACTATGATGAACTCCAGCATCATCTCTCTCTGTTTCCTGACTGTGGACCACTATGATGGAACTCCAGCATCATCTCTCTCTGTTTCCTGACTATGGACCACTATGATGAACTCCAGCATCATCTCTCTCTGTTTCCTGACTGTGGACCACTATGATGAACTCCAGCATCATCTCTCTCTGTTTCCTGAGTGTGGCCACTATGATAAACTCCAGCATCATCTCTCTCTGTTTCCTGACTGTGGCCACTATGATGGAACTCCAGCATCATCTCTCTCTGTTTCCTGACTATGGACCACTATGATGAACTCCAGCATCATCTCTCTCTCTGTTTCCTGACTATGGACCACTATGATGGAACTCCAGCATCATCTCTCTCTGTTTCCTGACTATGGACCACTATGATGAACTCCAGCATCATCTGTCTTTGTTTCCTGACTGTGGACCACTATGATGAACTCCAGCATCATCTCTCTGTTTCCTGACTATGGACCACTATGATGAACTCCAGCATCATCTCTCTCTGTTTCCTGACTGTGGCCACTATGATGGAACTCCAGCTTCATCTGTTTCCTGACTATGGACCACTATGATGAACTCCAGCATCATCTCTCTCTGTTTCCTGACTGTGGCCACTATGATGGAACTCCAGCTTCATCTGTTTCCTGACTATGGACCACTATGATGGAACTCCAGCATCATCTCTCTGTTTCCTGACTATGGACCACTATGATGAACTCCAGCATCATCTCTCTCTGTTTCCTGACTATGGACCACTATGATGAACTCCAGCATCCTCTCTCTCTGTTTCCTGACTGTGGACCACTATGATGGAACTCCAGCATCATCTCTCTGTTTCCTGACTGTGGACCACTATGCTGGAACTCCAGCATCATCTCTCTGCTTCCTGACTGTGGCCACTATGACCAACCACATTCCATTTCTGCTCCCACGCCTTTCCTGCTCCAGAGGAATTCTTTCCTTCCATGTGTTGCTTTTGCCATGAATTTTATCACAACCAAAAAAATAGCTAACATACCTCTTAAGAAAGTTACAGCTAAGAAAATTAGAAATTAGAAAATTTATAGACATCAGCAACTCTAGAATATAATCATTGTTCTCCCTTAAAACCCAAACAAACATTTTAAGTACCCATGGTGATTATCAAAAAAAGAAAACAAAATAAAGAGCTTTAGAACAGACCTCTGAAAATCAAGAGTCTGGGTGGCAGAAATAAACCATTAGTGACATAAGCTACACTCAGCCTGTTAACTGCATTGTCACCTCTAAGTGTGACATTGGGGGTCTCAGCTAAGGTATGCCAGGCACTCCAGCCATGTCTTAACAAAGCAGCAGTGTAGCAGAAGATAAGCGACCCTAAGCAACAGATGACAGCACAGAAGTCTATTAAGCAGAAGTGGTGTATGTGTGTGTAAGACAGCAGAACACTTATGTGTCATCTAAGTGTGAAGTGTTTATCTCAGAGAAGACAGCAATGGAAACACAGAAGCCATGTGCACTTTCTCTATGAAGCATTAGCAATAACTGTCAGTGCTTTCTCTGAGAAGCACTAGCAATGACTGTCAGTGCACTCACCCTGCGCAGTTACTTGCTTCAAGAGAGCTTCCAGATGCTCCTTCTCGGAGGCAGTAGCTTGATGGAGCCATGCCAGCATATCGCCCACATACCTGAAGAAAACCACCAGGTAGTTAGTAAAGATGTGCCAGGGAAACGTGTCAAGTCCTCTACTAGAGCCAATTACTGTACCTCAGAGGGTCGTGGGAATGCATCTCAATGGGTCTAGGTGTACCTCCTGGACCTCCTCTTGTGAGAGCATCAATAAACCCACGAACAACAGTACTTCGCCGGGCCGTTCCAAATTCATCTAAGGTATACCTACAAGAAACACATTATGAGAAGTAGCTACGTTTCCCCCAACAGTCTTCTCACACTCCACGCCTCCTCAAGCAGTATTATATTGAGACTAAGAGTTACAAGTCATTCTAGCGTGCTAAAATTCAATCAAGGTACAAATTTTCTCCTTCAAAGAAAGAATGCTTGGGACTAGGTAGCAGCAGAAGCAGTGGCAATGGGGAACAGCTGGCTTGGTTTCATGGTAGCTAAAACATGATGTTCCCAAGTTTACAGAAAGTCACATACTAGTTCTCAGAAGCTGGTTAGAATTCTACAGCCCAAAATATGAAGACTTTTTTCCCATATTAAAATTTCTCCTTATGTTACTATAACTTAGCACCAAATACTGACCCAAAATTGCTACTAATTTTTAAAAGCTTATTTTGCCTCCAGTGAGACATATTACATTTATTAACTGCTATCTTTGCACAGTAAGTATCTTTTCTCTTACGTTAGAAGTCACCCATTCTTGCTGCAAATGGAGGAAACTTTTCCATGGTGGAGGAACTGGCAGGAGAAAGAAAGCTATGAACTAGAGTATGTCATGACCTGGGATGAACTTGTGGGGATGGCTAGGATGAGCTCTTGTTTCCTAATATAACTGCCACTCTTTAAACCCTCCAATTCAAGTTACAAGTAAACACACAGCAAGAAATTAAAACTGTGAAGGCAGCAGATTCCATACCACCAACTTTTAAATCCTAAATGTTCTACCAGCCTAAATATTAAGAATGAATTCAATAACTAACAAACAAAATTTGCCAAAGTTTTCCCAAGACATCAGAATTATTTTCTCAGCCTACATTGCTTTCTCTATCATGTTGTAGAGATAGCAAAAAGTCCATGTTCTGTTAAACATGGGACATTGTTGGATGCTCTTGTCATTTTACTATTCCAACTCAAGGGAAGTGAGTGAAGTGACAGACAAGTAGAGTTTTTAGGAACACGGCCTTCTTCTGAGGACTGTTCACCCTGGCTTTGAGATCTCTGCAGATGCGGCACAGCAGAGGGAGGGGATGCAGGCAGCAGGGAAAGCCTGGCTACGCTGCACAAATGCTTCCGTTGCTTTCAAGACAGCTCCTGTTTGTTTCCTCCCCGTGCTCTTTAATCTCACACATTTAACCTAGAAAATCTTCCTGGCAATTTTACCAACTAAAATCTCCTGGATGATCCAATGATTGATACTCATCATAACAACACCCCCAAGCCTTCATCTTTGTAAGCAGAAAAACCCATCTTTCCTCCCTAGGCCCCATCTATAATGAGGTATCATCTGTTTCTAGGACTGGGCCATGAGCCCAGAGACATACAAGTGACTCCACTCACTCAATGTTCCAAAGAGAGTGCTCATCAGGCTTAGTGAACACCGGGTGAACCTGAATAATAACATGAAGTCTCATCTAATGTTACATCATCCTGCAGGATAAATGCAATCTAAGAAAAACAACATGAAGCAGTTGGACGTGGAACATCCATCTTAGAGACAGATAAAACTTTTTTAAAAGGACTTTCCCAAGAAAGGCCAAAATTTCAAAACGTAGCTTTTATATGAGTGAATATTCAAAATACATAAATATTCTAAACTTTTTTCAAAAAAGCAAATTAAAAAAAAGAATGCTGTAGAATCTCCTCTTTGGAATGCAACACAAATTCATTAGAAACAAAAAGATGGATGGGTTTTGTACAAGCTCCCGCTCCCCGAGGTAACTTATACGCTTCCGGTTTACTAACTGGAAGAGTCAGCAATTTATTTTAAAAACGCATTTATACTCAGCCTTAAAAGAACTACCTGTATGCTGCTGTTCTGGTTTCATTTCTGTTGCTGGGATAAAAACAACCAGCAACTCTGAGGAGAAAGGAGTGTATGTTAGTTCACAATCATCACTCCTGGGAGCAAGGCAGGCTCCAAGCAGGTCACGGCGCCCAGAAGAGCAAAGATGCACCTTGCAGCACGCCTGCTGCCTCGTTGGTTGCTCCGGCCCAGCCAGCCTTCCCTCTTACACAGTTCACACCCACTCTATGCAATGGTGCCACAGCAGTCCTGTGGTCTTCCGACTCAACTAAGCCGGGACAGCCCCACCCTACCCTGGCTTAGCCACAGCCAGTCCGGAGCCCGTAGTTCCTCCTGGGGTCCCAGTTTGTGTGGAGCTGACAATGAAGATGATAGGTACAGTGGTTTACTATTGTGACACATTAGACTTACAGTTACAACTAAGAAACACAAGACAGACAACCTTCTCAAGGACTTCATCTGACAGTCCTGTGCACATTACTGATCACTGAGAGGGTTATACACTGCTGCCACCTGCTGGCTGCCAGGAAGCACCCACAGAGGACAGATGGTCTGCTGTCTCCATGGCAACTTTCTTGCTCAACCTCCAAAAGCCCTGACAGCCTCCAGGTCCCATTCTACCCTGCTGCTTTGCAATTCTCAGAGTAAGTCGGCTCCTTCCGCCTGACTTTCCAGCTTCCCTCTGCTGTCCTGTTGGCTCCACAGACCCCTGCTTAGGCCGAAGCTTTCTGCCTGCTTCCCCACTGGTTGGAAAGGCCTAACATTCCGTGAGTGCTAAGCATCAGTGAGGCACCTGACAGCCTCCTCGTGAGACAGGCACTGTCACTGTCTGCATTCCACCCAGGAAACTAAAGCCACAGCGGCTCAAGGCTTGCTTGGGATACCTGACTCAGTACGGGGGTCCGTGAAGACAGCTCATTGACAGAGGACCTGCCACACAAATGTGAGGATCTAGGCTCAGGTCTCCAGCACCCATGTAAAAAGCCGGGCAAGACGATGTACACCTAAAAGGTAGTTCTGAGGTAGCAGAAACAAGGGGAGCCTGCAGCTCACTGGTCATCTCTCACAACAGCAACACTTGGCTGACAACAGTTGGCTTTCATTCTGCCCCAGAGCTCTAAAAATGCACTGGCTTTTGTTCAGAGTAATATTAAAATACAGCCTTTTAAAATCAACTAATTAAAATGCATAGGGTTCCTACCTAAAGCATTAATATGAAGATCTTAGATGGCATACTTAAGATCAAAGACCTGCACCTTTTTTAAAAATACCCATTGATGGGATCCTGACTGTGAATATTCTTTTTCATCTCAGAGTAACTATATTAGACAATCTTTATATGACCAGGGCTTGGTAGCTATAGGGTTTTAGTGATGCACAATTCTAAGGGAGTTAATGACACAGCAAACTGGCTAGGCCATCTGACTGCCACATAACTAAGAGACAGTCAGACTGCAGGGAGGGACACCTTGGTTCTCCCTTATTACAGAAGCACTCAGATCACCTGCTGTCCCATCGCACATAACTGAGAGACAGTGAGACTCAGGGAGGACACCTTGGTTCTCCCTTTATTACGTGAAGCACTCAGATCACCTGCTGTCCCATCGCACATAACTGAGAGACAGTCAGACTGCAGGGAGGACACCTTGGTTCTCCCTTTATTACGTGAAGCACTCAGATCACCTGCTGTCCCATCGCACATAACTAAGAGACAGTCAGACTGCAGGGAGGACACCTTGGTTCTCCCTTATTACATGAAGCACTCAGATCACCTGCTGTCCTATCGCACATATGGAGAGGTGAAGTACCACCGCACATCACAGTGGCATGAATCCGGCTGGCACTATGAGAATCCAGGGAATGATGAAAGACAAAGCAGTAAGTCTTACTTGTATAGGACAGGCCTGTCCTGCAGGGCCTCCATGGCCTGAGTTAACACCGCAGACACATCACAGGACTCTTGTGTCAGGGCTCTGCATTCACCTGGAACATAATCAGTTCGGGGCTTTAGTGCTATCTGTTCACACCTGCAGCCCTTTTCTTCAGAAGCAATCACTACTATTTAACGTCTCTGTCTTAATTATAAAGCGAGTGCAAATGCCTACTGTGTTCAGACAACTGAGGACACACGCAGAAGCTCCCAGTCTCTCAGACTCACAGCAGTGGTTGATTTCTTAGCACCCGATGACTGAGGATCGCTGAGGCACCTTATCATGGCCCCACCATTCCTGGGAGCCCTGGCTGCACCGCTAGCCAACACCAGCTTAGGTGTTAAGGAAGCATAAAGAAAACCAAGGCAATGCCTTTGAGGAAGTGCAGCCCAGCTACAAGGCAAAAACAAACGTGCGAGAAGTTCTCAAACAAAACAGCAGCATGTCAGCACACGGTGGCTAGTCACTGCATCACAGGGGTGGAGTCCTGAAGACTCAGACAAGACCTGGGTACAGAGAAGGACAATACCCCAGATGGGACCAAACCATATAAACAAGAGGAGGTACAAAAACAAGGAATCTAGACCTTAAACCAGCAAAGGGAAGGACAAGGCATCCAGTACAGATCACATGACAAAGCAAGCAGGTGAGAACCCTCAGTGACAGCTAGCAAGGAAAACTCCAGACTTCATTCATACAGATGCAAGCAACCCAACTAGTTAACAAATGGACAAGGAAGGAGAGACACTACGTGACAGGCCCTTCCAACACTGTAATGTTGACATGGTGAGAACCATGCCTGATTTCCACTAGACCACCAAAATGATACACTAATTTATCAGTGGACTAGAAAATTAATTCACCAACTGTAACAGTAAAGCTACATAAGTAGCAGAACCACCCATTCAAATGCTGCCTCTTCCATTTATTTATTCTAGGGCAGAGCACAGCCTTTGCTGTCTTCCTTTAGTGAACATACACCGTCTTCACTCACTTTCAGCAATGTTCCTACAATAACAGACACGGTATGTGAACACTATGTAAAGTTTGCTCTGCTTTATAAAAAAGTATCAGCTAGGGACTAGAGAGGGCTCAGGAGTGAAGGCACACACTGCTCTTGTGGGGTTTCCAGCACCATGTTGGGAGGCTCACAACCACCTGTGACTTCAGCTCCGGGGGCTCCAGCGCCCTGTTCTGGCCTCAGCGGGTACTGCACTCACATGCATGCTCTCCACACACACGGACAAATACTTTTTAAGAAATCAAATAAAAGCCACTTGAAATTTTAACAATTAAATATTAGTATGCATGGAAAAAAAATCACTTACTTTGAGCCCATCGGTAAAGTCTTTCGTAAGCCGTTTCTTGAAGCAAGGCCATCTGTTCCATAATTTCTAAACTTAAATGAAAATTAAAGAGTTATTATATTTAAAACTTAAGTCAACAGGAGGATCTATGAATCTAATTATTCATGTTTAATTTCATAACGTTGCCCTTAATGTTTTATCATTTTATAACATTTTTTCAACTTTTTTACAATTAAATAAATGTTAAATTTTAACTCCATTACTCAATTGCAACTCTTCTTTCAGTCAAATACAGAAGGCTGTGAACGTCCACCTTTCCCAAAGGCAAATGAAGATTAAATCCCTATTTCACAGAATACGGTTTCAAAAAGAACCTAGAACGACTCTGAAAGTTTACAAACATAAGCAGCAATGCGGCCGGCTTACCATGCAGCTACTCACCCTGCCGTCTGCTGGTTGGTTCGCAAAAGAATTTTGACATCATTGTGAATCTGTTTCACTCTTCCTAAAGCCTTGAAAAAGTCCTTTAAAATAAAAAATGTCATTAAAAAATCTGTTTTCAGGAAAAACTATACTATCCTGAATTAAAAGATCACTAGACGGTGAAACAAAATCCTACCCAGTCTAATGAAGTCTTATACAGATTTCAACTGCATTTTTATAGAAGGCCTCATAGGTATTTCTTCACATTTTAAGACCGGCATTAACCCAGCCTGTTGAGGACCACATGGTGACCACTGCTGTCTGACAAAGTTCCAGCATTTCCACTTTGTAAATCACCCCTGTCCAGCACCTTTTACTTTCAGTCTTAATGATTCTCACTATGTGTTACACAAGTTCCCTTATGCCTTTTCCTTTAGGAAATTTTGTGCGGGCTTTGAAGGATGAAAATGTATAAAATGGCAGCCTCTTTAAGCAAAATAATCCTTTGGAAAAAATCCCAGCCACTGTGGAACCATATAGAGTGATAACTCTGCCTGCTCCCATACAAGTACTCACCAAGCTGCTAGAAAATTTAGATAAGTAAAATATGCTTGATAAATAAAGTATTTTTGACAATCAAGATTTATAAATTCCTAAGGTCTACTCAGGTTCACAGTAGTATCTGTCTAGCTTCATCTCTGCTCACTTTAAGCTTTAGCTATTTGGATAAACTAAGTCACACACGAAACTGCAACCCTCTATCATGGAGAGTCTGGTGCGTGAGAAAGTCCTTTCTCAAAGCCAGGCATTTAGACAAAACTTCCCCTTCTCTCGGAAACGTGAAGAAAGTGCCTGCTTGCTAAAAGGAGTCACTCTAAGTTGGCAAGAACTTGTGACCCTTGCTTTAATATATGACTGGTGCCTGCTAACTTGTCCAGGTCAATGCTAGCTTCCTCAGTCCCTGCTCACAAACCGCACCCCAACTCGCTCACACACCCCACTCTCTCACTTAACCCTATGTGCAACTACGGAGTATAGAAAGTGTAACAAACAGGTATGCTGGTTACCAGTAATAGAAAATTTGTAAAGACTAAGCAAGTTCCTGTCCTCAGCAAGCACACAGCTGAGTGAGCAAGTCCTGGACACTCAGGAATAGCCCATTCCTGAGTCACTGGACTATTACGTCTCTGCTATGCATGCATTTGTGCTCCTCACCCAGGAGATAAGCATAGGATTCAGCTTGAAGAATACACTGGAGCCTTAGGAGTTAGGAGACAGAGTCCTTTCTGAATAAATTGAATGTCTTTAAGGAAAAAAGAAAGTACCCTTTTGAGAGGTTTATTATTCTTTTATTTAGTTTGCAAAGTATGGCAAAGACTTAAAAAAAGATGAAAAGCAAATTGCAATTTAAGAAAGACAAAGAGTTATCAGAGTAAGCAATGTATCACTATCCTGATCAAAACGGGAATAAAGAAAACATGTATATGCATTGTTTACACTGAAAGAGGTGATATTAGAAATATCCTTTGTAGATCTGGCTGACCTCAAACCCAAGAGTCCCCCTGCCTTTGCCTCTGACAGGCTGGGATTAAAGGTGGGTGACACCACACCAGACTGGGTAGCTAGAGACTATCCTTTTAAATGTAGACCTAAAAATACAGCTTGTACAAGAGTAGTTACAAGTAAAAGTAGTTCACAAAGGACACATGTGGGAAGAAGGGGTATAGGAGGCTTTCTCGTTTCTTTTATTTTTTTTTAGTTAGGTTGTACTCTGACTTCAAAAAACACGAATAACTTCAAAATAAACAAAAACCAAAAACTAATTAAAATACATCCCTTAACTTCAAATTTAGAAATATTTTCACATGAACTTCTTTTAAAATCTCATCTCTCTGTAGCGTCTGTAACCACTGCACTGTAAGTGGCCAGCACACGTACCTCAGTGACGGGGCCCCCTCGTGTGCCTCGTAGAAGACCCATCTCGTCAGAAGTCAGCTGGAACTTGGATAAAAAGGCATCTGCTACTTGTGCTCTGATTTCCAATCTTTGGCTATAAACAAGAAAAATGAAGTGTGTTATGCTTTTGTACAAATACAAAGCAAACGACATCCTTGACATCCTTGTCTTATCAAACAAAACAGAGCTGTGGGAGATCCTCAAGGTCTGAAAGCCTTGTTTCCCCCTCAGACACTGCAGGATCAGCAGCAGGCACGCAATGAAACCATTCCAAGCTCATCGGGCATGCAGACCACATAACTAGCTGATACTGCTCTGCCCTGCAGGTGTGCACACAGTGGAAGGTATTCATTATGTAAAGAAAGAAATACATTCACAAATGGTACCTATGTTGCTAACTTACAGCCTATTGCAAAGGCTATTTTCCAAGACAGAAATATGCCCTTGATTTCAAGCAACTTTTCTTAGTCATTAATACATCCTAAAAGTTTTCACATGAAACACAAACAAAAATTAGTTGTTTGTTTTTTAATTTGTTACAATTTATGTTATTTTATTGGTTGGAATTAATTTATGCCAAAATGAGAGATCAAGACCTTGTCAGTTGAGAAGTCTTTTCTCTATTTAGGCCTTCCCCACTTGTGATGGCTATTCTAGGTTGTCAACTTGATTACATCTGGAATTACTTAAAACCCCAACAACTGGTCACACCTGTGAGGGATTTCTTCTTAACTGAATGACTTGAGGTTGCAAGCCTCACTTCTGATCTGAATCTTTGAGGTGGGAAAGCACCTTTAATCCAGACTTTCTGAGGTAGGAAGATCTACCTTTATCTGGACCACACCTGCTGGCAGCCCACACAAGACATGGAAGAGGAAGTTCTCTCTTTGCCAGCTTGTTGTCGCCTTGCTAGCAAGTACATCCCTTCACTGCATTGAAGTCTACGTATTCAGGATTCTAGCGTATACCGAAGACCAGTTGAGACATCAAGCCTTGTGAAATCATTGTTGGGTTAGCTGAACCACACAGCCTATACATCATTCCAATAAATCTTTCTATATAGAGAGATTCATTCTCTTAAATTGTTACTCTAGAGACCCCCAATATACTACTCTTTCTGCCTGACAATAAAAACAATATTGTAAACTATAGGATCTGGATGTAACATAAGCAGGGCAGCTGGCAATCAGGAAAAGAAATGCTCTAAACTAGGAGGCACTCTTCAGGGACCACGGGGCTGGGAAGGGGTCCTATCTAAAGGCCAGTCACTGCCTGGTCTTCCTGAGCAGTAACTCAACACTCTTGGTGCCAGAACCCTGGGTCTGAGCTGTACACAGCTGGGCATGGTGACACATGCCAGTTATTACAACACTATCGAGGCAGGGAGACAGTGGGATTGAAAATCTGAGGCTGGGGTATGTCTGTGGTAGAGCCCTTGCTCAGCACATATAAGACAATCAGTTGGATCACCAGCACCACCAAAAATAAAAGAAAAGCCCACCGTATTTCACCAGTAGTATTCAAAAAGTAGCAATAGTCTACATTAAAAACATTCTGTTGAGCCAGGCGTTGGTGGCGCAAGTCTTTAATCCCAGCACTTGGGAGGCAGAGGCAGGCGGATCTCTGTGAGTTCGAGGCCAGCCTGGTCTACAAGAGCTAGTTCCAGGACAGCCTCCAAAGCCACAGAGAAACCCTGTCTCGAAAAACCAAAAAAAAAAAAAAAAAAAAAAAAAAAACATTCTGTTGAGAATTCCAAAGGTAAGCATTAACACTACCCATGTTCACAGCAGAACATGTTTACTTTGTGTAACTTGTATCTTTAGGTGGAAAGACTTTAAATTCACCAAGTCAATAACCCTGGAATAAATAATAAATTTTTAAAAGAGAAACAAAATCCAGGTATTTACTTCAAACAATAATGTAATCCCTTAATTAATTCTACATAGAGCTAAAAGGTGTATATCCTACCATCCAAAAGTCAGCTAATGTATTTTAACTTTTAGGTAAAGCACCAACCCTTGTTACACAAGTTTTAAAGTAATTACAAAGCATCACAAAATTCCTTGAAACAATTGAAATTAACCATTTTACTTGGAATCTTCTTTGAGCTATTTTTAGACTTATCTTTAGCATCAGTTATCAGGCACAAAGGAGAACTAGTCTCACCATGGTATCATTCATTAAAGTGGTATCTCTGCCATCTTGATGATCATATGCCCAATCATTACAACTGATTCCAAATACCAGTGACCTCTACTCCTAAACAGATATAATCTCTCAAACTAAGAACTAGGCATAATGCTCCAATGACTGCTTTTATGTTAAAGCTAACATTAAATAAAGGTTAGGAGCATAGGTCCTCTGTGAACCTTCAATCACATTCTACATTACTTTTGTTTTGACAGCATTATTTACAACTTTCCACTTAATCTGCATTAATAAGGAGGTAACTGTATAAAACGTACCTTTCTGCTTGAAGCTTAGTGGTTTTTACTATTAAATCTTGAGTCTGTTCTTTTGCTGCCTGAAATTATAAATACACCGAACATCAGTATATTCCAGTTTCATAAACTAATATCACTACTTCCTGGAGTTCAGACAAATGGCCGAGAGCTCACAAGGCCCACATAATTGGCATGGATGTTTCAAGGCTCATGAGCTGCCTTTTTAAGAGGCACTCCCTCAGAGTTCTCAGCACCACACGAGGCTGAAGCACATGAGAAGATAGCATCCAGGTGCTTTCCAGGGAAGCAGAGGTACCGGGAGAGTAACCTGAGGGCAACAGCATGCTTCCGCTGTGGACCCGCGAGCTGCATGCCGGGAGACTTGTAATGGGGCTATAAACTCAACCACGGTCTACAGTGGGGACAAAGCTCAACTGTGTCTCCAATCCCACAGCGTCTCCAGATGCCTATACTGCTTGATATTTTGCCTTAAAGTTTAACTTCTACCCTTCTGTATTCTAACTTTTAAGAAATTTTACCTTGTACAGACCCAGTTTACTTTGGACTCATCCTCAGCTAAAGAGAACCTGAAGAAAATTTGTATTTTTATTATATGATAAATTCTTGTGTAGAGAAATTCATATTTTTGAAGAATTTGCTGTTTTCCCCTAAGTGGTTGCTACTTGTTCCTGCTGGACTCACCAACAGCCTACAGGTTACAGGTAACTGTACTATTTAAACAAAACATAAAGAGTTAACTAATATCAAGGAGCCATCACAAGAAGAAACACCAGGGTATTCATTCACGTGTTTGGGCTCCTTTAAAAACTGTAACCTTCACATACAAACTTCCTACAGGGCATTAAGTGTGAAATGGCCACACAGGTGAACCCTCCCCTTTACCAGGAGCTACATTACAATCCACCCATGAGGTACCTGTAACCGACTTGTCATGTCCTGACAGCAGCTGCTCATGGCTTGAACATCTTCATTAATGCTTTCAAGTTCCTGAAAGGGGAGAAACAGCATCAACTATTGTACACAGCATGAAGACATTTCTCCTTTTTAGGCCAATCCCCCAGCTTTTGTCACTGTTTAGTCACAGCATACCAAAGAATCTTTATGAAATCCATTACCATGTAAAATAAATGTCTGTACTTACAGAAAAAAGAATCCATATTTCAAGCTGGAAATGATTTAAAAACTATAATATCTACTGTTACAAAGGTGTAAGGAAACTGGTCCATTTCTCTTAAAGGGAATGTGGAAACAAAAACATCTTATCAGATGAATATATTTACATACCTTAACATAAGAATAACTACATAGGTAGTAAATATAGTATTAGGTAGACCTAATCACTCAAAATTTATATGTACTGCAAATTTATATTTATTTTAGAATTGTACGTATAGTTTTAGCTGTCAATTTCTAAAGAAGAAAAAAATCATAGCACGAAGTAGTAAATGTGCAACAACACACACAGGACAGTCAAGAATTCTCTAAGCAAATGGAAACTGGAACACTTCAGCCAACAATGGAAAGGGTGTACAGGGTAACAACCGGGATAAAACTGCTTGTGCTTTCCAAAGATGTCTGCACAAGTTAAAAGTCACAAATTAAAATACACGGGACCAAACTCAGATGGCCAGGCCTGTTCATGAGCACCTCCACGTGACTGAGTCATCACAGCAGCTCCGTTTCCCTTCTGTGACCCTGGAACTCACAGATCCCATGTGTGATGTGGTCAGTACATAGTTATTCTAGCTTACATCATCCTCGCTTGATGCCTGGAAGCCTCTTTACCCAAATTCCTTCCAGGACAATGTCTGCTTCTGCTTCTGGTCATGATAAGATCACCCCTTTCAATAGTCAAACATGCCTAGAGACTACAATCAGGATGTGTCCGCCACTACTGTCTTTTTTTCTTACATGTATGTCTTCATGATGGAGGCACACAAGCATAAGGTGCCCTCAGGAGATCAGAAGAGGGTGTCAGGTCCCCTGGAGTGGGAGTTAAGTTGTGAGCCACTTGACATGCCTGCTAGGAAGTGAACCCCGGTTCTCAGCACTCTTAACTGTCTTAAAAAAATGAATTCTACCAAGCTTTCCTTTTCACTTCTGATTATTGGCCTTCAATCAATGAAATCCTAGTAAACGCTTTAAAACTGTTTTTTTCAAGTACTTCCTAAAACCAAGTATATCACTTCCATGTGATTTACATATTGTCTCTATACAGTAATAGTAACAATGTAATACTAATAATAATCAAATATCATACAATAAACAAATTACATCAAAATAAATAGCATTTATCTTCATTCCATGGTTAAATAAACATAATCAAGTATGTTGAACTGTTATTCATATTGGAATAATTACCCTGATCTGGAAATTGTGTACTTTAAGAGATAACACAGTAACTCAATACTAATCAATCTGCAATCTAAGTCAGTGCATTAAATGCGGAAATATTCCTCTGGAAAACCATTCAGAGAAATGGTATTTCTTATTAAGAAGTTACAATTCCTAGCTGGGCAGTGGTGGCACATACCTTTAATCCCAGAACTCGGAGGCAAAGGCAGGTGGATCTCTGTGAGTTCAAGGCCAGCCTGATTTACAGAGTACCAGGATAGCCAGAGCTACACAGAGAAACCCTGTCTCAAAAAAGTTACAATTACAACTCCTAAGATAATTTTTCTAAACCAACATACAACTTTTTTATATTATTTATTTGTGTATGCAGTGTTCTGCCTGCATGTATCCCTGCAGGCCAGAAGAGGCTACCATAGCTCTCTCATTACAGATGGCTGTGAGCCACCATGTGGTTGCTGGGAATTGAACTCAGGACCTCTGGAAGAGCAGTCAGTGCTCTTAACCTCTGAGACATCTCTCCAGTCTACATTACAACTTTTAAATAGTGGTAAAGAATTCAGAAATCACAATAATTCAAGCAAAAACAGAGTTAAGTTGCTTTCTATTTGGCCATGGTACATTATCAGCTAACAGTACAATTTAAAAAACTTATCAAGACACCGGACACATCGTTTCCTATAAACAGTAACTAAATGAGTTACATACCTCTTTCACCTCCTTGAAGATGCTCACAAATTCCTCATTGATGGCCAAGCTTCTACGTTCAATATCGCCACGTAAGTTTCTTCGAGTTCGCAAACTATTCTCAACGAAAAAGGTTGAAAGTGCCTTGAGAGCTTCCAACATCTCCTGTAGGAGTGACAACAGAGGAAAAGTCACTGGAGCTGACTTTTAAATTGTTCCTGATACCCAGTCAAAATTCAGTGAAATTATTTCCAGTGGACTTATTTCCACTAAACAACTCAAAAAGCAACGTCTAACTTTCTAAATACTAAGCAGTCAGCTTACTTCCAGAACACAGCAACAGCATACTTACATAGAACATATATCTAATTGTATATGCACAGCACAGTGTAATATACAGCAGAATTTTGACAGAAATTCTTTATGCTCTTAGTATATGTTCTGAGAGATTTAGGTAAGTGAAGCAAAAAAGTACAGAAAGTTATGGCAATGAGATAAAAATATGTTCATTTATATTAGGTTGGTGCAAACGAAACTGGTTTTGGAGTGTTAATTTTACACCATCATAACTTGGCTCAAACACCTTTACTAATTAAAACAGGAACCATTACAACCGACACATTTTTGCCAAAGAGAAATATTGACTTCTGTAACACAAACACCAATGTTTTGGATTCAGCGAACTCTTGGAAAGCATTTTCCTCCTCCTGTTGGTTGTGGACGTGTCTTCCCTGAAGACAGTTGTAGAGACTCTTGAGGAAGTCAAGATAAATACGGCGGGCGAGGTCAAACTTTGCAGCTCCATTCACTCAACTTTGGAAGGGCTGCAGGTGCGCCAGGCAGTCTGGAGTTCTGGAGAAATGGGCTCTCTGTGTTGACCAATCCTTGAGGCAGGGTTTGCAGGTGTAACGTGGCCTCGGTGGGATTCAGAAGGCGGTTACCACCAGTCAGGCAGCGACACATCGGCGACCACGACGTTGTCGTCAGGGCCTTTTTGTTTTACAGGCTAGAGGGGTCGACTCTTGACAAGGGCTTTGTAGTTTCTTCTTCATCCAAACACGGAGGTAATCCCAAACTATCCTATTTAATCCACTTTTGTTTTTTGTAGCATGCCACAATCCTATCTAGTCCTGAGCCTTATTTTTTTTCCAGTCAACGTTTTAATGCCAAATTTTTGTTGACGGCTTTTTTTTTTCCACTTACCTGCCTATTTACCTACGGCTCAGCAGCTCTCAATTTACGTTTTCCTTTTGGTGCCACGCTGGCAAGGCCAACCGATACATCTGGCTACTCAATGCTACAGCAGCCGGCCAGCCCCGACAAGCTGCTGCTACGCCCTGTTCTAGAAGGGTCGACAACACAGCAGGGGCGCGCACACAGCCGGTGCACCACGACGGCTCCAGGCAGGCAGGCGTCCCCGGTGCCCGGGACAGCACGGCCGGGGGCTGAGGCTCGCACGGCCCTCCCGGCCCCTCCTCCGGTTACCTTGTCATTGTCCAGCCGCGTCTCCAGGATCTTGTGCAGCTTGCGCGACAGCGGGTTGTTGGGCTGCGCGGGGGTCGCGCCCGCCCCGTTGCTGAGGCCGTTGGCCGGCCCGGAGGCGGGGACCGCGGCCACCTCTCCGCCGCCGCCGTCCGCCATCGCGGCCAGACCCGGCGCAACGGGAGCCCCGCGCGTGCGCGCTCGCCGGCGCCTGCGCACACCCGTCCGGGCATGCGCGCCGCCGCCGGGCCGCTCGGGGAAACTCGTGCGAGGAGGAAGAGGGCGAGCGAGCTCGGGAGGGAAGACGTCGGAGCTGCGGGACGGGGCTTCGGGAGCCTGAGTCTCAGAAGTGCCGAGCTGGTGCTGAGGTGCGTGTGTCCGATGCGCCGGCGCCGGGGGCGGGCGTTCGTGGCCCACAGCACGGGTGCTGGTTACGGTCCCGAGTCTGCATCCGTCTCCCCGGGGAGCGGCGGGAGGGGCAGCGCGTGCCGGGGCCTCCGGTGTGCACCCGACAGCCCGCTGCGCACACACAGAAGACAGTGAAGAGAGGAGAAAGAGATTCCCCGCAGGACGGTTACTCGAGAAGGCTTTGCAAGAAGGACTTGGCCTTTTAGCTGAGATTTGAAGGAGATTCAGAACCGTGAGAGGAATCCCCCAAATACGAGAAACCCTACACGTAAAAGTCCAGGAAAAAAAAAAAAAGGAACTTTGCTTTCTCTCAAATTGACAAAACCCAGCGTGTTTTGCCTGCCTGCTTGTATGTATGGTCACTGTATGCGTGCAATACCTGTGGAGGCCAGAAGAGGGCGGCACGACACCTGGAACTGGAGTTACCTTTTTTATTTAAATAACATGATGGAAGTTATTAATAATGACCATATTGGGCTGGTATTAATTCGACCTACATGTTCAGATTCACATTATTGGTCTGGCCTTAAATCTAGGCACTTTCTCCAAGGCAGCAACACCCTCACTATAATGTTTTACTGGGCACAAACACATCACAAATTTCAAATCTCTACATACTAATCCCTACTTTAGTCTTTTCCAGATGTTATAGCAAACTACTATAGACTCGGTAGCTTATAAACAACAGAATTTATATCATTGCTCTGAAGGATGGCGGGTCCAGGATCAAGTCACCAACAGACCCAGTCTGGGGGGGTCCCTCGCCATATTTATGGACAGACATACAAGCGCCGCTTACCTCATCTGATAGGAAGGAGCTGGGCTGGCTCTCGGAGATCACTTTTAAAAGATCGCAAATCTTGAGCATGGGAACTTGGCCCTCATGATCTAATCATTTCTCCAGGTTCAGCCTCCAAACGTTGCTGGAGGCTAGGAAGTCAGTGTCTGAGTTTTAGGGAGACACAAGCATTCAGACCACAGCCCCACTCTTCCAAAGATGTCAGGCCATGTGACCCATACCAACGTCCATGTGGCTTTTTTATTCCTCTCAAGTAACTTTTCCCACTGCTTCTTAAAAAGAATTTAATTCCCCATGCAAAAATCCATAGCAGTAAAAATATAATTCCTACCGGGTGTTGTGGTGCATGCCTTTAATCCCAGCAGTTTTAGGAAATGATCCGGTGGTTCCTCCCACAGTTCCTCTTAGGGTCTGTCATACAACTATCCAAGCCTCTTGGTCTGTTCACCCACTATCATGAGGAGCTCTCAGCCCTGGCAGACGCTTCACCTTAAGGGTCTACTATCTTCCAATGCAAGGCCTTGTGGCTGTCAATTGCAAGCACCAAGATGTCAGAGCGGGTTTAAGTTCCAATATTGGTGTTAAGTTGATGATAGGTTTTTACAGACAGAGAGTAATGTGATGAAAGGTCCCATACTACACACATACACACACACACACAGGCACACACACACGTGCATGCATGCACATACATACGCATGCACACACACAATTTCTAGCTTATATATTCTGACTGTGGGAGGTAATAAACAAACAGAGGTAATGAAGTATAGCTCAGAAGAGCATGGCCCCCAAACTAATGAGGTGCCATCTCCTGGCTGTCCCTATAGTTTCACATTATTGGGCAGTCCCTTCTTCAAAGTGAAATGTGTACCAAGACTAACAAATTACACATGTTTATTATTTCAGTGCTAAGGATTATTTTTAATGTAAGAAGCAAGTTGTATGTAATACTATGGTAATGTAGAAAGTATTCAGTAATTGGTGAGTAGCAGAAAATCAAGCACTTTCCAGTATGACTCTAGCTCAAAAGAATGAAGTCCTTCTCCCCCATGAGGAAAGGAGTCTAAGAATCCCTTGCAGCCAGTCCTCCGGGGCATGTGAGTACACTCTGCTCTGCCTGCCTTTGGTAAAGTGGTGGCTGACGGGCTGTAAGGGAACACCTCTTGTTGCATCCGTAGTCTTAACACTGCTTTACTTTGTTCCTGGGCTCCGATGGGTGACACACAGAGTAGGTGACATGTTAATCTTGTTACCAGGAACAAGCATTGTAGTGGGTCCTTGACCCGTCCAGCAGGCCAGGTTATTTACTGGGTCTCGAGCGGGTGTCACCTGTAGGAGTCAAACGGGGGGAGAGAGAAGTGGAAGCCAAGCGCGTAAAGAAAGAGTCAGTCTGAGTTGCGTCAAGGCTTCGTTTATTAGCTAGCAAGATTTCATTTTTATAAGGTGGTTTAGGCAGGGCGGGGGATGAGGACAGGGGCAGTGGAAAGTACCGGGCCTTTTGATATACTAGCATTCAGAGAACTCAAAACTGGTTTTGTTGTTGTTGTTGTTGTTTTTGGGTGTGTGTGTGTCTGTGTGTGTGCGTGCGCGCGTGTGCGCGCGCATGCGTCTGTAACCTGATCCCCAGGCTAATTTATTGGCATGATAAGGAGGCATGTCACAGAACTTCAGGCTGAGAACGTGGATGGAAATCACCCAGCAATGTGGGAACCTGGGGGAGGACCCACTGGACAGGTTTTAGGACCATTGGCCATTTTTCTGCTTTTGCACAACATTCCAAGTCTGGACACAAGCTCACTTTGGCCACATGCCCATCTATTGATTAAGACGCCATGATTTACAGACCCAACCTGACAGCATACAACTCAGGAGAGTTATTTCTAGTCGATGTAATAACTATAAATTTGTGGTTTGTGAGACAGGTAAGAAAGTAATCTATATAAGAAAGGTGCAAAATCCAACTAGGTAGTAAAGATATTAGTTACAGCACTAGCACGGGGAGCAGAAGGGTGAGAACCAATTAACTTCGGCAGTCAGTGGAGATTGATTGCAACTGGGAGGGAGGTGAGTTAACAGTAAGGTGTCAGGGACCCAAATTAGGCGACTGGATTTATGAAAGGGGTTAGGGAGAGACTCGTGTTGGGAGTTGTGGTAAACAATAAAATCGCCAGGTGATGCTATTTGCAAGAAAAGTTAAGGAATTGAAAAGCTTCTTTTCCACATTAATGAGTTCAGTGTATAGCACAAAATCTAAGTCAAACTCACTGGAGTCTTTGTCTGGAATCTCTAAGAACCGCATCAAACTCTTTGAACAGATGGAGGACAGATGACTTAGCCGTTTCCAGACAGGGTGAAGATATGCATGGATGAAGACAAGGACTGAATCAAATCCTGGGAATTGACATCTTCTTGTGGTGATATATTATGTATGATTTAATAAAGCCACTGGGGATCAAAGTGCAGATAAGCTAGCTAGCCACAGCCATAGAGCCAGGCCGTGGTGGTACACACCTTTAATCCCAGGGGTTGGGAAACAGAGGCAGACCGATCTCAGTTAGGTCACACTGAGCTACATGAAATTGATCCAGTCTAAAAGAGAAACAGCTCACACAAAGGTGATCTCAGCCCTTGGAGTCACACGTCTCTAATCCCAGCACTAGGGAGGTGGAGACAGGAGCTGCACAGCTGGGTGAAGAGTGACATATAAGGTGGGAGGAGACAGGAACTCAGGACTACAGTCACGTTTGGTAGAGAGCGGCGCACTCTGAGGACTCATGGAGACAAGATCACCCATTTCGGTTTGAGGTAGAGGGGAGAGCTACTGGCCGGCTGCTTTGCTTCCCTGATCTTCAGCTTGAACCCCAATATCTATCTCTGGGCCTTTTGCTAATCATTTTACATTTTCTTATCCCAAATTTGGAAAGGGAAAGGCAAAAACAGGTCACACAACCCAGAAAATACATGACAAGGAAAAGAAAATTTAACAGTATATCTGTACATCTCAATAAAGTGATTTTGTTTTTAAATTTGGTATATCGAATTTGCTATTTCAACTCTTAAATTAAGATTTTAATTTTAAGAGGTAAAACATTAATAAGTACATTTTTTTGAGACAGGGTTTCTCTGTGTAGCTTTAGCTGTCCTCAAACTCACTCTGTAGACCAGGCTGGCATCTAACCCACAGAAATCCGATGCTTCTGCCTCCCCAGTGCTGGGATTAAAGGTGTGCGCCACCACCGCCTGGCTAATAGACACATTTTGACAGTGTGGTAGCTCCCACTTTATCTCCAAGGGGTAACTTGTATAATCTCTAGTAGATATCTGAAATTGTGGATCGTACAAAACTCTCTATCTGCAATTTTTCTACGTTTACAGACTTCATCTTTGATGGCTGATCTTGGTTGTCTATTTGACCATGTCCGGAATCAACTAAAACCCAAGCTGCTGGTAATGGAATTGCTTCATCAGATTATCTGAAGCAGGAAGACCCACCCCAAGTCTGGCCCACACCTTTTGGAAGAGGGAGGCATTTGCTCTTTGCTTGCCCTCGCTCCCCCCCATCATCTGTCCTGGTGCTTTGGCTTTATGTCACTTCTTTAGGGTTCCAACATAGTCATTGCTCTGCGTGACATGTCCCTGTGGTGTTACAGACATGACATGTGATGCATGCTAATATCATAAACATACTGCAAGTTGTTGACTATAGTCGAGAGAAAGAAAAAACATTTCTTTCATGCTACGTATCCTACTAACCTGGGCTCAGTTAACTCCATTATTCTGTCCTAAGGAAAATCAAATTCTCAGGTCAATCTCAGATTCCTAAAACATAGTCAGTGAATTTCAGGTAGTAAGGATGCTATTAATACCAAATGTATTGATATGTGATATATTTTAGGTAAGAACTTTATTGGGGAATTTTATGACGCTTATCAATCTAAAACAAATTTTTGCTGATCAGGGAACTGGCAAATATCTGCTAACAATGAAA